AATAGGTTACAAATAAACAAAAATATTTTCTAAAACAAGCATTCTAGTATTATATCACAAAGCATATGTATTGTTTCAACATAGTCAAGCCTTCTTGCAATCCTTTTAGTTTTCTAACATTGATTAACAAATTATCAAAAACTTGACATCTTAAAATAAAACCCATATTATTCACTCAGAATTTTGCAGTTGAGAAGTTTGATATGAAGTGGTTGAGCTGTTTGCTCAGTTACTCTACAGAACATAAATCAGCATAAATAAGGGGATATCTTTGTGTCTGGACCTTGAAACACTCTTTGAAGATTTCAAGGCTGTGACACAACTTCAGTTCCTGAGGACTAGGTGCTATTGGTAACCTTCAGCCCTGACAGAGCATCTTCATTGCTACATGTCCACTCTGCAAACTCCACCATTGAGGTATTTTACCTGCTTCCTTACGCTATGTGAAGTCAGAAAGAGACCATTCCCTTTTATGGACTCATAATCCATGGAGAATAATCTGCCCTCTTTTTAAAGATATCAAATGTAACATAGTAGTTGTGGACTGTCATATACATATTCACTTATCCCAAAGATTATAATGGGCAAGTACAGTGAAGAACATATCAGTCCGTGGTAGACCCCTTACATGCTCTAGTGCTCAAGTATGTCAGTTCAGTGACCAGCACTCACCCTTAACTTTTCCAGTATTATGAATATTTAAAACATTAATTAGCTTTCAAAGTTTCTCATAGTGAATGCTATGGATGCTGGATGAAATTTTATTTGATAAATATTGAGCTGAAAATATTTAGGGCTTCTTGATGGAAGAATAAATAGTTTCATGAAAATTTTGCAAGGCATGAATCTGCTGGCTAAAATATGGCTGTTAGAAAATCTGTCTGTGTTTTATAAATGGATATGCACTATAGCTAAATCCTGATTCTGGCAGAGATCTCACATGGTCATTAAATTGCCTGCCAATTTAAACAGTTTCTAAAGGAAAACATCACCAGGAGACTGTGTGTATTTGAGATGCCATCTTTGTACATAGAAGGGTGACTTGTGACTGTGAGATTTGTGTCTCATAATCTAGTTCATAACAGCATTTACCTTACTCATAGACATGGAAAATGCCTTGAGACAACATATATTCTTTTATTTGTTCTATATCTCAATAATGCAAAATAACTTTGTGAAAACATAATTTCTAAGCTTCCTCTTCAGCTGGGAGTAAATATTCTTCTCCTTGGAAATTTTGGGTGGAATAATTAAATAATAATGAGAAGTGTGAAGGTTGTAGGTGTTTTGTTCCACTGAGAAGCCTGCTTTCAGTGGAGATGAGCCCAAAAGACCTCGATTGGCAGCTTGCGCTTCTAAAGTGGAAGGTGATCTTTTTCCCTGATGGCACCATTCTGTCACCAATAGCATCACCTCACCTGCTACCTGCAGAGAACTAAACCAGTTGTCTTTTGTGTTTTCAAATGGTGACAAGATAAAAGAGAAATTGAGTTGAGAAGTTCTAAAAAGCATCAGTTGATTCTGCTTGAAATGATCTTTCAGTATGTATGCATTGAAAGCTAAGGCATGGAAATGAGACACATTTTAGTCATGTGCACTTAGCCTGACATTTTACCCAGCGATGATAGTCACAGCAATGCAAAACCTCTCCTTCCAAAGCAGCCCCTTATTTTAGGTGATTGTATTATTTCACATCAAGAGGTTGACAACAATGAATTAAGAACCTGCAAGAGGCAAGCTGTTCTCTGTACTATTTTGGATCCTGACATAGTACCCCAATGCAGAAAGTCAGACTCTTTGCTCTTCATGTTTTCCTTATTTCTTGATCAGGTATAAGTTATACCTGTAGACTTAAAACAGTTTATCTCACCAGCCATGGCAAAACACATTTGTAGTCTCAGTTCTCAGCAAACTCTGGCAGAAGGATGACGAGGTAAAAGTCTACTGAGTCTACACAATAGTTCCAAACAAAACTGCGCTACTTAGTAAGACCATATCTGAAAATAATGGAGCATAATAATAATAACAAAATAATGATATCAGTAGTAGTAAATAAAATGAAAGTTAACTCACTCATTCATCATTTCAATACATGGTCAGTGAGAGTTATTCAGAATTAAGTGCATGGATATACATGCCATATGTCTTCTCTTATAGCACATAACAGAAGGGAAATCACTATAGGAAAGGAAGGAAATTTACATAAGAAACAAAGATAGGAAATAGCAGTGAGTGTCATGGAAGTGGTATGAATGAGACAGCAGTGTCAGACTGTCTACAGATGGGGCCACTTTTAAATAGTAGCTGCGAACAAAGGTAAATCTTTTCCCCAAATTTAGCATTTATACAAAAACAATTTTGTTTTTATAGTTTATATTCAATTTATATTACCAGAGAAAATATTTAGCTCTTTAACATATATCTTGATTCAAGGCACAGTACATTAGAGGCCTTGGTATTTTTGTGTTTGTTTTGTTTTTGTAAGGGCTTTCTGCTTTTCATTTTGACACTGTTTATAAATTGAATGTTGTCCATAGCTTTATGCTTATATTATCATAAATCCTAGAATCAAAGGTAGTCAAAACCAAGATATAAGCTCCATCACAGAGGAAACAGGTAGCCACTTGGAGAGGAGCAAAAGAGAGACAGACCACCTGCATAATTCACCTGTGTTTTAAACACCATATGATTTGAGATGAATACTGTCATCTGACAACCAGACCCAGTCAGGAACAGGTACTTCGTATAGTCAATCTATGACTTCCCTCCTTGAACTCAGAGACAAACACCCTTCATTTATCAGGCAAAAAATATGAGAATCAGAGAGCTAACTAATTATCCAAATGTTGTCAAGATAACAAATGATACAGATGGAACCTGTTCTTGAGTGTCTGGGATCTAAACAGCATGTTGTTGCCACAATGCCATGTAATTCTAAAGGGGTAGTCAGAATGAAAGGAATATAAGTTGTGCTCTGCCAGGGCAAGACTAGCTGATATGTAATTAGAATAGTGGGCACCTTAAAATCAATACTGGACCATTATTAACACTTGAAAATAGTTTCAGACAGATAAGACCAAAATACTATATAGTAGAACATACGTTACTTGTTCTGGAAGGTAGAATCATTTAAGTGGAAAGCTGAGGTTTTCTTTTAAATTTTTAGTGGTTCTGAGGTTCAAATACAGATCTGGAACATGCTAACCATGCCCTCAGTAGTGCTAAGGGAGTTCTAGCTGCACAAGTTTTTATTATTTCTATCAAACTTACATATAAACATTTCCATTAAGTCTGGAAGAGGCATTACAAAGAGCCTGTCAGTATTATCATGATAACCTTCTCTTTTACCTTGATTAATGACAGATATCCAAATGGATTATAAATATGATAAGTAGTTATTTGAATGAATAAGTAGTGCTTATAAAATTTGTATATAATTTGCAACACTAATAGATTCACTGGTGTGTGTGTGTGTGTGTGTGTAATTATAATAATTATATAAGAGAAAAGGTCATGAATTTGAGAGGTAGGAGTGCCAGAGAAGTTGAGTGGGGAAACAAGTGTTAGAATCTTTATAAATGCATGAAATTATCAATAATAGGCTTAAAATTTATAGATATTTTCCCAAGCATAGGTAATATGTTTAATTTTGGTCTAAATTTAAACACCTACATAAACTTAACATACTATGTGTAACTCTGGCATGTTCAGTTACGATTTTCACAATATTTTGCCTTTAAATAGAAAGAAATATTTTAAGTGGGAAGGGTGCTTCAGAAATTACGCTGGCATGAGAGTTTTCTTTTATTTTTATCCCTGTGGTGATTTGCAGAATTCTATCCCTTCATTAAGCTTATAAATTTAACAGTCCATCATGCCAAAGGCATCTTCTCATTTAAACAGCTTAGTTTCCTCAGAATAAAATCACTGTACCCAGGAAATAGTTGGAAGATTAGACAGTTCCTTTAAAAGTACGGTAGTAAATGAGGCGGTGATGGTGCATGGCTTTAATCCCAGCACTCAGGAGGCCGACGCAGGCAGATCTCTGTGAGTTCAAGACCAGCCTTGTCTACAAGAGCTATTTCCAGGACAGTCTCCAAAGCCACAGAGAAACCCTGTCTAAAAAAAAACAAAATATGGAAGTAGAATGAATGGATTAATTAGAGACAATTTTTAGTGTGTCATGCCCTCTCTGAGTGAAAACGAGAGTCTTAATAATCTGACATGAAGAGTAACTTGAGACTCTTACTTGTCTTTTAACCGCTCTGAATGGGGAATCTAGATTTTAATAGTGTTCAACATACAAAATTAAGTAATGACAACAATGTCTGTTTCCTACACACAGGAACTGAGCAAGGGCTCACTAGTCCTTGCATTTAGTAAGCAACTATGACATCACAGTATTGAGAAAGGAAAGATTTTATTGAAGATCTGACACAAGACATCAAGTGTGTTCTTTCAAATGGCTGAGACAAGGAGCACATATAGAGGGGAGTGAAGAAAAAAAGCTTATTGTTGTTTTGACGATGAGAAGTGCAAGCATTAAGGTTCTTTTATACAGGCAGAGATATGCACAATGCCTATTCATGTCTCACATGTTTCTTTCCAGGGGAATTATCATGTTCTGTGTGAGAGTTCTCATTTTGTGTGATCACAGGCCATGTTTGGAAAGAAGAACTTTCTCTATGGATGCCCATCAGGTTTCTAAGCAACTATGAATACTTCTGAAGCCAGTTCCCTACAAACAACTTACAGACACTTTTGTATTTAGGAAGTTTATATAAAAGTATATACACTTACATTTCTTAATGGAAGTGAATATTTTAAATACCTTTTAGCAAGAATTTTTGAGAATATAATTTCCCTTTATGGGAGTAAGAATGACACTTGCATAGTCACAGAGACAATGTTTTTTTTTCTTTTTCGTTAAAAAAATGTTATGGTAGAATGTCATCAGGTCCGATGGTAAATAATGGTGCCTCTCTGCTTTTCCTTTACAGCCAGCTGTTGCAAACCCCGATATCATGTTTATCAAAATTCATATTCCTTGGGACACACTGTGCAAGTATGCAGAGAGATTGAGCATCAGAGTGCCTTTCAGGTATTTTTATATATTATTGCATTTTTCTCTCAATATTATTAGGATGACTCCATCTTTTGTAATACCTAATAGCAATAAATGTGGTTCTTTATTCCGAGAAAATTATTTCCCTTTTAAATTTTAGGCTGTATTAGACAATTTTCACCTAAATAGTTTCACTGATGTGTTAAGTTTTCTCATTCCTTGGACAAGTAGTATCATTCCAAGGTAGAGTTGCCTAGAATAAGGTAACAATCATTTTCAGATTTCAGCTTTAAGCAACTCCCAAGGTCGATGCTCATTCTTATTTCATGTGAGTGTAATATAACTTTGATAATGGTTGACAGGAATTGTTTTTCAGACCAGGTCATCCAGGACAGTCTCTGAGCTCTGGTCTCAATATCAATCAGTGCAATAAATATAGATTGCCTTCTTTCAAGGGTTTTCAGTCCTTCTTTTAAGCAAAGAAATGTGTTGACCTCGCTTGAGTGTTTACTATTAGATGTAGAATGTAGCAATTCCTCCATCCTGTCCCACTGTAGCTTTTCTAATGCACATACTGTAGGTTGAGTGTTAACTCAATTGACAATAAGGGTATTGCATCAATGTGGAGTTCAACAGATACGATCAGACGCCAAGAAGGAATAAAAGGTTCAAGGAAAATGAGATTGTAAGTAAAAGTGCTTTACTAAATGTAAGTAAACACTGAGGACATTTTAAAAAAGAACAACATCATGAAATTTTCATGGGACACACTGGAAAGGATCATGTCAAGCCTCAGGGTCATTCAAGATGAAGGAAGAGATGCTAATGCAAATGTCTTCAGACATCTGAAATAGCTCAAGCCTTGATGGATGCAACCTCAGTCACTGTATAGAAATAAGCAATTAAACATTATTTATCTAAAATCTCCATTATGTTAGGTGTTTAAACCTAGAAATGAATTTATATGTACAGTTTTCATAACTTTGTATATCTATATAGTACTATATATTAAGAGTATACTGGAACTAATTTCTTTAGAATAAGGACTGAGTACGGTATAAAATCATTATCATCATCATCTTAATTAGCAAAAGTGCATAACTATTTAAAGAACAAGATTTTTATTATTGAATGAATTATTCATTCTATATTATCAATGAAAATATTACTTGTGAAACATTACATTTCACAAAAAAAATTTAGGTCAGCAAGATGTCTCAGGAGATAAAGGCACTGGATACTGAACCTGAGAATCTGAGTTTGACATGTAGTATCCACATAGTGGAAGGAGAGAACTTCCCTCTAACTGCCTTATGAGTGCCACAGCATCCACATGCTTCCACATACATAAATAAGTAAACATAAATCTAGTGCTTTACTTAAAAAAATAAAAGGAGAAATGAGGCCTGCAAATTTCAAATCACTGCTAATATATGCATGCATTTTAAACTTTTGCTTGTTTGAAAAAACTGATGGATGGTATTTAAAATGGAAATTTAGTGTAGACAAAGCGAGGCTTGAAATTTTATATTTGAATTTTGCGTTGGAATATGGCAAGAACATTTTAAATCTTTCCAAAGACTATGGCCTACGTTTTACTCTAGAAGAAACATACCCAGTTGCTGAATATGTGTAAAGTATATTTTCTAGATTGGCTTCCATGATACATTCTATACAGTCCAACAATGATTGTCACACACTGAAGAGGCTGGGAACCTGGCAGATGATCAATTTACATGGCAAGGGGGTCTCAGTAGGCCTAGTCTGGTGCTGTAGGCCTGGAAGTTTCCTGAAGAACCATTGGTATTCACTCCACATCCGCAGTCTGAAGAAGCTGGATTATGGTGTCTGTGTAGGATGAGAGAAGCAGCAGCAGCAGCAGCAGCAGAAACAGCACAGATGAACTTGCCATCAGAGAGGTGAAACCAAAAGGAAAAAGCAAAGCTTCATTTTTTTATTTTATTTTCCAGTTTAAATTTAGATAAGAAACAAGGTTGCTTCACAAGTCAGTTCCAGGTCCTTCTCCCTTTCCCTCCCCTCCTCCTGTACCCTCCCCCCAACCCCCCCCCCGTTATCCCCTCATTCCCCCAGGGAGGTTGAGGCCCTCCATGGGGGTGTCCATAGTCTGTCATTTCATATAGGGCAGGGCCTAGACCCTTCCCCAAGAATTCAGGGTGAGAGTGTGCCTCACATTGTTCTATGGGAGTCCAAAGTCCGTGTGTATACTTGGGATGGGTACTGATCTGCTGCCCAAGGCTCAATAGATTACCTAGGCCTCCTCACTGACACCCAGATTCAGGGGGTCTTGATCAGTCCCATGCTGGATTCCCAGGCTGATGCCTGGGATTCAAGGGTTAACCTTTGTCTGGTCAGCTGTTTCTGGGGGTTAAACCAGCCCAGCCTTAATCCCTTTGATCATCAGTCCTCCCTCTCTGTTACTGGCTTTCTTGAGTTCAGCTCAGTACTTAACCAAGCGAGTCTGCCTCTTCTTCGATCAGCCACTAAATGAAGTTTCTGTTTCCCAGACTCTCTGGCCATAGGATTGTAGGCTGGCACTCCCCAGATCTATGTCTAAAATCCATATATGAGAGAGTACATGCCATGTTCCTTTTTTTGTGACTGGGTTACCTCACTCAGGATGGCTTCTTCTAGTGTCATCCATTTGCCTGCGAATCTCATTATTCCATTATTTTTTTCTGCTGAATAGTACTCCATTGTGTAGATGTACCACATTTTCTCTATCCACTCTTCGGTTGAGGGACATCTAGGTTGCTTTCAAGTTCTGGCTATTACAAATAAAGCTGCTATGAACATAGTGGAACAGACATCTTTGTTGTATGAATGGGCATCTTTTGGATATATGCCTAAGAGTGGAGTTGCTGGGTCTTGTGGTAGGTTTATTCCCATTTTTCTGAGGAATCTCCACACTGATTTCCAAAGTGGCTGAACCAGTTGGCACTCCCACCAGCAATGGAGGAGTGTCCCCCTTTCACCACATCCTCTCCAGCATAAATTGTCATTGATGTTTTTGATTTTAGCCATTCTGACAGGAGTAAGATGGTATCTCAGAGTTGTTTTGATTTGCATTTCCCGGATGGCTAAGGATGTTGAGCACTTTCTCAAGTGCCTCTCAGCCATTTTAGACTCCTCTATTGAAAACTCTCTATTTAGTTCCGCAGCCCACTTTTTAATTGTGTCCTTTGATGTTTTGGAGACTTGCTTCTTGAGTTCTTTGTAAATTTTGGAGATCAACCCTCTGTCAGATGTGGGATTAGTGAATATTTTTTCCCATTCTGTGGGCTGCCTTTTTGTCTTGCTGACTGTGTCCTTTGCCTTACAGAAGCTTCTCAGTTTCAGTAGATCCCACTTATTAATTGTTGGTCTCACTGTCTGTGCTACTGGTGTTATGTTCAGGAAGCTGTCTCCTATACCAATTCATTCATGGGTACCACCCACTTTCTCTTCTAAGAGGTTCAGTGTGGCTGGATTTATGTTGAGGTCTTTGATCCATTTGGACTTAAGTTTTTTGCATGGCGATAAACATGGATCGATCCGCATTCTTCTACATGCCAGTCTCCAGTTATGCCAGCACCATTTGTTGAAGATGCTTTCTTTATTCCATTGTATATTTCTAGCTTCTTTGTCAAAGATCAGATGTTCGTACGTGTGTGCTTCATTTTTTTTTACCTCCCTTTGTTAGTGCTGCTAGGCAAAGGGCCACTCACATCTATGATGGGATGGGCCAGATCAAAAGCACTGGTAAAGAAACTCTGTCACAGGAGTACACAAGAGTTTGCATCTTAATTGAGTCCAGATCCTTTCAAGTTGACAAGCAGGACAGAGCACCACAACCTGTGACTAAAATTAAATATGGCATCTCTGAGCACTTCTTGAACATTCATAACTCCATCATAACTGATGATTAATTACTAATTACACTACCTCAGTGTTCATTGAGCCTCTAAGATGTGTTTTAGTGGTAAAGACATGGAAATTTGGGAAGTATCAGATTCCTAAGCTCCAATAAGAGGATATAGAGTAAGTTACTCATAAATAAGTTAACCTTTGCCACAACAGGTGGTACCTCTGAAACCAAGTGTGTTTACAAATCTCATTCCAACATTCATTTTGTTTTCTTTTGTGAACTACTGAGCTTAACTAGGGCTGTCCACATGGCCATGGGTCTGGAACTATCCACTTGGTGGGCTCATCACGTGGTGTATAACTGAAGATAATGACTCCTACATTTCCAGAATCAATCAATAACCAAAAATTCCCTAGGAAGAGGTAGGACCCCATCAGTCTCTCCATTTCCATGACTAAATGTTGATAGATTTACTCTTATGAAGACCTAGTTTAGGCAACCATAGCTACATATATGATTGCAATGACTGCCCCTGACCCAGGAGATAACATTTCATAGCCTTTTCCCCTGTCATCTGACTCTAAGGATTATTCATGACTCCACTTCCATTATGTTCCCTGCACACTACAGAGGGTGGTGTAAATGTCATTTTCAGGTCTGAACACTAATTTTCAGCACCGAGTGCTGCCCTCACCTCTGAATTCATAGTTATTCATCACAAATCTACTAGATCAGTCTGTTGGCATTTCTCTGGAATATTTTCTTGATTAATGACTAATGTGTGAGGGACCAATCCCAATGTAGGCAGTGTTGCCTCTAGGCATGTGGTACAGGCTTGTATAAGAAGAAAAATGAGCAAGCTGGAGGAAGCAAGCCACCAAACACTGTTTTTCCTTGGCCTCTCTTTCAATTCCTGCCTGTGGATTCCTGTCCTGAGTTCCTGACCCAATTTCCCCCAGTGATGAAATAGTACACAGAAGTACAAGACTGAATCAACCTTTTCTCCCCAGCTTGCTGTTTGCTCAGTGTCTTTATCATGACAACAGAGAACTAAATTAGGACAATTACATATGTATTTAAAAGATGGATGGATAGATAAATGATTTGATTGATAACTTTATGTAGCACATAAACTAATAATCCAGTTCATAAGTACTGAGTTACAGGATACAGACTTCAAGTAATTAAAAACAATGTATCAAAAATAACCTATACATTTTGAAGTATTTTTATAGTTATTTTATTATATTTCTTATTTATTTTGTTAGATAATCAATATACTTGAAAGTAAGCTGTTACAATCCTGAAATTAAAGGTCTTCATGTTATAATGTAACAGCTTACTTTCAAGTGTATTGATCTCATAAGTATTTGAAAACGGGTGTTGATACACTTAATATTGTTGGATGCTGTCACTTTCTGATTAACTGTATTCAGATGATTTCTAATTTTTGTTTCAGGAAAAAATGTTACTACACTGACCAGAAGAACAAATCAATGAGCAGGTTAGTGACTGGGTCACAGTTTTATTACGAATTTGCCATTTACAAAAGCATAAAGAAGAACTCATTTGATTATCCATGTCTTCAGTTATAAGTTTTAGGAAGAAAATTATGTTAATTTCTTGAAACAATTTTTAATTTAACATAATTTCTTTATTGAATCTTTGGGAACTTCACATCATACATCCCCTTACCCCTACCATGTCTCCCCAAAAGGAAAATTTAAAAAAATCAAAATAAACAAAATAAGGAAACAGTCAGACAAAATATAATAACCCCCCTCAGGCAAGGGAAGGAGCTAGAAGCCCATGCCATCAGAGTCAGTCTCTCTTGCCCATGTTGAGGGGTGGGACCATCTCTCCTGAGTGTCCAGCTCTCCCATGAGGTTCAGGGCCAGCTGTCTTGCTATAATATCCAGCATGGTCCCAGTGGCAGCCCAGGCCCTGGAAATCTGCATGGTCCTTGGGGTAAGAAGAGTCACAGACAACAACACAGACCCTGGTTTCAGTAGAGCCACATATTCAAACATGGCCACCAGCTTCATCTCTGATCTAGACATCACCATGGCACTAGATAGCAGTATGTGCCACTTAGGTCTGTTTGGTCCAGGATGCCCTTGGAGAGCAATATGGTACCAGGCTGCTAATCAATCCCCAAGCAACCATAAGTCCCTCAGTTATAGCTCTACTCACAGACATTGATTCAGACCCTAGCAGCTGAAGAGCCCTCAGCAGCAACTCAGGCCTGGATGACATCATAACCCCTAATGGCACCACAGTTCACCTAGTTCAGTGTGACTCAAGTAGAGGCATGACTTTTGGACAGCTGTGTGACTAACAGTGGCAGCCCAGACACTGAGCATCATTGTGACCTTTGGTGACAACATGGGTCATGGATGGCGACACAGACCCTGCCTGTAATAGGACCACAGAAACAATTTTTAACATGGCTTGTCACAAAAAATAAAATAGTTTCTATATTGTTATTTTCATTGCCACTCCAGGAGTGTCTCCAAGATGTAATGATATGAGAGGGATATTTGAACTGTAAGTTATCATCTTAAGAAATTTTATGTTTTAAAATAGTTATAAAATTGGCATCACTAGGTAAATGATAAACCCCTAGACTATGGGAATAGCACACTTGGAAACCCTCTGTACCATTGAATCCATTATTCTTGTCTGACAGCTGTGTAGACACTAACTTCCAAAGCAAGGCGGTGTTTCCAGGACATCTGGCATCCTTTGCATGGCAGGTCTACTTTTCTCCTATCACTCTAACCTGCTTTTCTTATGCATGTATGAAAACTGAATTTCTTTTCAGGAGGTTCAGCTTAAATATTTGCCCTTTATTCACTGTGGTCAAAGTAGCTATGGAAAAATAACTATCCCCAATTTGGAGACAGAGAAACACTTCTGTCTAAATACTTTGACTCTATTTAAATCAAAGAAATGAATTTCCACTTAAGGAATGCTCAACAACAAAAAACTTCATATTGATAGTTATTTTCTATCCATTACAAAGCAATAAGTTGGCAAAAACAAACCTCTGTAACATCAACATGGCAGTGTACTCCATGAGTAACACTATAGACTAGAATAAGTCAGAAAGATGTAAAACACAGAGAAACAAAGTGTAATATAATTTTTAGAAAAGACTTGATAAATATAATCCTTTATCAAAGGAAGTAGATCATAATAATTTTAAACATTATAAATTGTGATAAGAAAACATTTTAAACAGTATGTCTACTTTAACTAAAATGTTTTGTTTGGGTCCCTTTTAGCTGTTACAGAGAAAACATTTCAACTGTGTTATGAATAGATTTATTCTTTTCTAGGGGGCGTTCAAAGCAGAGTTTCTCTGTGGCTTTGGAGGCTGTTCTGGAACTAGCTCTTGTAGACAAGGCTGGTCTCGAACTCACAGAGATCTGCCTGTCTCTGCCTCCCAAGTGCTGCGATTAAAGGCATGCACCAGCACCACCTGGATGAAGAGATTAATTGTTGCTTAGTCATTTTTCAGAAAATTTCTAGAGTGAAATTTGAATGAACCATATGCATTAGTATATTAAATTCTAAATTGACAATTTTGAAACATATTTTAAAGATTTTGAAATGTTTTGTCGATGGTGCTCAACCTTTCAAGCAAACTAAGAAAATAATCACTTAATCATGTTATTTTTATGATATTTTATGTGAAATATTTCTGACTCAACTTATAATATTTGAACTTATGTATTTGGGATATTAACAAAACTTGTCCCTCACATTTAATTTGTTCCAAACAGTTTTCTTTGTTTTTTAGTCTCATGGATTTGAGTGGTGAGGGTAGGCATCAAATCGTAAACTATATCAGCATCAAGTGAAAAGAAAATTTTTCTGTTGCTTGTTTATGTTTATGTACATATTGACTTGAGGAAAAGTTTGATTCTGATTTTTCCTTCAATTTTTTTAGGAGAAAAATGTAAATTCCGTGCATGTAAAAGGTGGTCATGAATAATTATTATTTACAATATTTTAAATAGTCAGTAAAAACTGTACAAGGCATAATAAAATTTATATAAAATGCACACATTTATTTTTATTAGTGCTTTTCTTTTCTTGCAGCAGAAAAGACGTTTAGATATTCTTAACTTTGGCTGGTAAGCACTAAGGGATAAATAATGCCCAGGCAATTATCTTACTTCTGAGGATCATACTATCTCAGAGTACCTGTAGAGGAAATAACAATAGCATTATTGTTGGAGCAATTTAAGTTTTATTTATGAAGCATTTTCACGTTCAAATATTACAGCATCATCCAAATAGCCTGTAAGGAAGACAGAATGGACAATAGTCTGTATTGCAAATGAGGGAAAATAACAGATTGTTTTACTGCTCCACCCATAGTCCCACCCAAAGCTTTCTCAGGTATTTGACAGTTTGCATTTTAGTCAGATTCTATGAGCCCTTTGATCTATATTTTTAGTTTACATAGAATTCTATTACCTTGCCCTTAGATTTTAATGAAAGACACTAAAACTGTGTTAGAGATAATTTCCATGTTTTATCAGAAAATACAGTATTTAAAAGGTGTCCAAGATGATAGACATGTTTGGATGTTGTATATCAAGATGATAAGCAGTGTTGGTATCAAGGTTTGTAGCAATATAAACAGTAGCTCAACATTTATTTCTCACCTTATTCACACAATTATGTGAGCACACACTGTACTGTTTCTACTGTCCATTTAGTTATCAACATGTCATTTCACTTAATAATGAAAACACCTCAATGAGTCCCAAGGAAATTGATAAGACCATTTCTCCCTTCTCAGAAAATGTGTTTGAAGGAACAAATTAAGAGTGTTTATTTTCTGTTATCGGTAGATGATGATCTTAAGTTACTTTTATAAATTTTAGATGTTTGGTTTACTCGATTGTTTTATTTTAGCCAGAGATCATAGGCTACTAGGTGCTGCAGTCCATCTATACGATCCAAGTGTCCTTTGGTTTGTTCTGATACTTGGAAAGATAATGGGAGAGGTCATTCTGTAAATCTGTCTCTATTGGTTGCTGAATAAAGCCCTGTTGGCCAATAGGGAAACAAGATAGGTGGGACTAGGCGTCAAGGAGGATTCTAGAAAAGAGAGGCAGAATTAGACTCCATGAAGGTCTCCAGAGGAGTAAGAGGTCCGGACCCTTTTCTCTGGTAAGAGAAATACTTAGTTTAACAATTATGGGTTAAATACTTAATTCAAAGCTAGTCAGTAAGAAACCAAGGAAACAGCCAACCACTTTATAATTAATATAGTGTCCTGTGTGTTATTTGTGGGTTCAGACAGCGTGGCAGGGACCAGGCGACTGGCAGGGAAAACTACACTCTACAGAAAGATATAGGAGAAATGGGATCACATCAACACTGTGGAGCTGAAAACATGATCTCAAGCACTGAACTGTTTTGTCTAGTTTCTGAAACTAGCAAATTCAGGTATCCTCATTCATCTAATATGCATATTCCAGCAGCAATGATACATTTTAAAAGGCTAGAATAAATAATCTGTACTCTAATGCTTTCTGTATGTCTTTGCATTGGTCTCATGAGACAGTGATAGTCTATTAATTCAGGGGCTTTGTTTATAATGAAAATCAAAGAACTGAACATCTCAAAACATACTTGTTAGTTTAGATTTAAAATAAATGTAGTTCCGGTGGCCTTCTCCTCTCGCCATCATGGCTTGTGCCCGTCCCCTCATATCGGTGTACTCTGAAAAAGGGGAGTCGTCTGGCAAAAATGTCACTTTGCCAGCTGTGTTCAAAGCACCCATTCGACCGGATATTGTGAACTTGAGGATAAACAACAGACAGCCCTATGCCGTGAGTGACTTAGCAGGTCATCAAACCAGAGCCGAGTCTTGGGGTACTGGCAGGGCTGTGGTTCGAACTCCCAGAGTCCGAGGTGGTGGAACTCACCGTTCTGGCCAGGGTGCCTTTGGAAATATGTGTCGGGGAGGCCGCATGTCTGCACCAACCAAAACCTGGCGTCGTTGGCACCGCAGAGTGAACACAACCCAAAAGCGATATGCCATCTGTTCTGCCTTGGTTGCCTCATCCTTACAAGCTTTGGTGATGTCTAAAGGTCACAGTATTGAGGAAGTTCCTGAACTCCCTTTGGTAGTTGAAGATAAGGTTGAAGGTTACAAGAAGACCAAGGAGGTCGTTCAGCTACTTAAGAAACTTAAAGCTTGGAATGACATCAAAAAGGTCTATGCCTCTCAGAGAATGAGAGCTGGCGAGGGCAAAATGAGAAACCGAAGACGTATCTAGCGCAGGGGACCCTGCATCATCTATAATGAAGATAATGGTATCATCAAGGCCTTCAGAAACATCCCTGGTATTACTCTGCTTAATGTAAGCAAGCTGAACATTTTGAAACTTGCTCCTGGTGGGCATGTGGGACTCTTCTGCATTTGGACTGAGGGTGCCTTCCGGAAGTTAGATGAGCTGTATGGCACTTGGCGTAAGGCGGCCTCCCTCAAAGGTAACTATAACCTTCCTATGCACAAGATGATGAACACAGACCTTAGTAGAATCTTGAAAAGCCCAGAAATCCAAATAGCCCTCCAAGCACCACGCAAGAAGATTCATCGTAGAGTCTTGAAGAAGAATCCACTGAAGAACCTGAGAATCATGTTGAAGCTGAACCCTTATGCAAAGACAATGCGCAGGAATACCATTCTTCGCTAGGTCAGAAATCACAAACTCCGGGTGAAGAAACTGGAAGCAGCAGCAGCAGCCCTGGCAGCCAAATCAGAGAAAGGGTCAGCAGACAAGAAGTCTACAGAGAGTAAGAAAGAAAAGAAGCCTGTGGATGTCAAGAAGCCGAAGAAGCCTGCAGGGAAAAAGGCTGCAACCACAAAGAAGCCAGCAGCTGGGAAGAAACCAGCAGAGAAGAAACCTACCACAGAGGAGAAAAAGCCTGCTGCTTAACGATTGAAATCTGTTTCATTCCATAGTGCAGAGACACCCTATCTGAATAAAAAATCTGATCAAAGATACAGTGAAAAAAAAATAAATGTAGTTACTCCAAAACTGAAATGCTCCTCATCCCAGTGACAGTGCTACTTGGTAAGAAATTATCAAGATTTTTACATCCTAGCTTTTCAACTGTAGTCAATTCCTATTTAAAATTTCTCACGGTAATTTCATAATAATAATAAACTTACATGAACTAATTCTTAAGATACAGTATTTGATGCCTGCCCATTGCTTTCTTAATTTTTTTCTAAAGTGCAAGAGCCTAGCCAAACCCACCTTAAGATAAATTACATTTGAGTCTAGAGATATTTTGACTTCTGTATTTCAGCAGCACACCATTATCACTGTGGAAACACTGCTTAGTATTTTCAAATGAAAACAGTTGTTGTTATAGTAACAGAATTTAGATTTTTTGAATCAATGCTGAAGGTCAATCTTTTGTTTTGCTTTATTTTTTATTCTGTAAAGGAAAATGATGGAAATTATTCCAATTAACATTCATGTTTACTTTTCATTTACATGAAAATTTTAACACTTTTTTAGAGAACCAGAGAGTAATCTGCATTTACCTATGCATTACATATAAATATATTGTGGTGCCTTTTAAAATGTTCCTTACTATGGCCATCTTCATGCAAGATATTTTCTATGGAGATATTATTTTTCTGAAATGTTTGAATAAATGCAGGGCTTATTTTACTATTTATTTATTATATAAGAAAACAGAAATGTGTGTGCATATATGAGTGTTCGTGTGTGGATAACATATAAGTGTGTGTGGTGTTGATATAGGTGTCTGTGTGTACGTGTGTGTGTGTATGTGCATATGTTTATGTGTGTATGGTGACTTTGTATGTGTTTGGTGTGTATGTGTATGAGAGACAGAGGGGATGGAGAGAGAGAGAGAGACAGAGACAGAGACAGAGAGAGACAGAGAGACAGAGAGAGAGAATGATGTATGTGAGGTGTCTGGAATATTTATACTGTAAGAGAAAAGTATCATGACTCTTGAAAACAACCTATCTAGTTCTGGAATTTGACTTGTTTACAGAGTACAAAACTATTTCAAAAGAATCAAAAAGTGGATGTCCCAAAACCCAATGGTTCTAGACAAATCAGCGTTCCCAGAGTTGGAGGAGTCAGATTGCTACACCGGCCCCTTCAGCAGAGCCCGGATTCACCAGTGAGTGTTCATTTCTTTTCCTTTATGTCCTGGCTTTGTACTTTCTAGTACCCCCAGATGGTTTATAGAACAAAAATACCTGAGGACACTCCCATTGATCACCAACTAGGTCAAAAATATATCATTGTATTAGAGTTTGTATTAAATTTAGGAACAGCACTATATGAACCTTTGATTCTATATTAATTTCATGATTCAGAGATAGTCAAGTAGCAATTAAATCCTAATACATAGGCTGGTAACCTAGATATTCTTTTGAAGTAATAACTATGTGTGCTGCAGAGATGGCTCAGCCATTCAGAGCACCTGATACTTTCACAAAGGAGCTTCCAGTACCAATGTGGAGACTCACAAGTGTTTGTAACTCAAGTTACAGGGGGTCCACAGCACACACATGGAGGCTTATGATTCCAGTTACAAAGGATCCACAGCACACATGTGGAGGATTATAACTGCCTGTAACCCCAGTTACTATGGATTCAACAACACCTCTGGATTTTTCAGGCACCAGGCACATGTGTGGTATAGATACATGAAAGAAAACGCACACACACATTAAATAAAATTTTCAAAAATTATTATGGTAGAAGGTAATTCATTTAAAATAATAGTGGTAATAATAATAGGATTGCTCCTAACACTAGCAATTATTGAAACTTCAATTTTACTTTAAAATGCATTTGGTATTTAAGTAGCTTAGTTTAATCTTGAGAATTTCTTGAGAGAAGGCTAGGTGACTCTGACTTTCTTGTTTCTCTCTCTCTTTCTCCCTCTGGGCCAAACCATTTTGTTTTTCCTTGCCTTTTTTGTATCTGTTTATTTGTCCATGCTTCCATTATATTGTGATTTGTTGAGTTTCTACAGGGCATTAAATAAATTACAAGGTTCATTATGGCATATGTTCTGCCTTCAGGGGCCTCCTAGTCAAATACTGTAGGCAAGAATGTATTTGTAAAGCTAAATGAGATAAGGCAAACATAGAGATAGAGAAATATAGAATATTTACAAAATACTGTTGTAAAATATACAATTTAGAATAGAACCAAGGTTGTAGTCCCCACAGATGCCACTCTAGATGTCTGGCTGAAACTTTTGTCTGGAATGGGGGAGTTGATAGGACTCTAGATCAATCTCCACCACAGTCAAAAATCAGTTAGAGTTTTTCCTCCTCAAAATGTTCTTCTCATCCTTTGAAAACTCAAGGAATCAGCTCAATCTTTGAAGAACACTAATCAGATCAAGAAAACATCTGGCTTATACCTCCCAAGTAGTGTCCCATTTGTACTCATACAATTCAGGTTTTGATTATTTTCAGTGTAGGCTGCCCTCCTGTCGTCTCTCCCCTCTCCCTCCCCCTCCTTCAGGCATTTTACCATTAATAGTGCAGCCTCACAAGCCTTGGGTCTATGACTCAGCTGCTCTAGTGAAGCTTCAGCTAAATCTGCACCACCTTTTGCTTCTGCTGGGCTATACTGGTCGTGAGCTTTGCAGCGTGTTTTTCTTCCCATCAATATGCCTCTATTAAGCATTTAAGGAAAAATCATCATATAGTCCCTTCCCCCAGTCACTCACTACATTTTTATACCTTTACATTTTCTTCACAAAACCAGCTTGGATTTATTTATTTATTCGCTTGTTGATTATACCACCTGCTTAATTACCCACATAATACAACCTCCTGCAAAACTAGACTTACCTGCCTAAGAACTACTTGCTCTGGTAGGCTTAAATATTGTGTTGAAAAAAAGATCGGGGGATAATCTTTCTGCTACCTATGATAACCAAGACTCTGAATTTAATGTATTTGAACACAGAAATAACACACAATATATTAATTGCCAACGAACTCAGCATGTAATAACATGATCAGCTGTGCAGACTGAAATAAACAGGCTTGGTAAAACATGTTAAGTAGACAGTAGTCTCATAATCTAGACCAGGAGCAATGATACTCAGGAAAAGGGTAGCATCACCATGGAGACAGTGATTCTACAAGAAAATTACTTAGCTTGTTATAAGTCTTTGGAAATTAAGGGTGAGGAGGAAGCAAGGGATAGAGCAATTAATACCCCAGATGAAATGTCTGACAGAATGATGGTTCATCATTCACAGAGATAAAGTGCCTAGAAGCAGAGAGTGTCACTAGTTCAGTAAAATCCAATTCATACCACTGCTTGGAGACTCCCAATACTTATAAAGAAAACATTTAAATAGAACCATCCTTTCCTTGAGAAATCCCCCTTTGCTTTCCATATCATCTACAGTCAAAAGACCTCTTGCTACTCTTTTCATACAGGGGTATTTTAGGGTATCAAGGGAATAGAAATAAAATGAATTATGGAACATCACTAAACTCAGAAAACTGGTTAAGATAGAATGTAATGTGTTGCATGAGAGATAATCTCAATTTTTAATGAAGTCTATCTGGAGCAACATGGTTTGAGGTGTCACAAACACCAGTCAGCAAATAGTGCATTTTTTCTTACTCTGTGATAAACAAGACCTATGAGAATACCAAGACCACTTTACAAGTTTAAAGAAGATGTTAAGATAAACATTTGATTTTCTTTTCATTTTCTATAAGTACTTATTTTTAACTGTTGATTTCTTTTGTTAAAGAGGAGGACTTCTCTCTCATCCTAGAATGTTTTACATTCATTGTCTTTAATTATAGAGACAGATGGGTGGTTACTCAGGAACTTATAATTATGACTAGATTTTGTGTTCTGCTCTGAATATTAAAACCAATCCCTTCATCTTAACAGCTTCATAATAAACAATAAGGACACCTTCTTCAGCAATGCTACTCGAAGCAGGATAGTTTATCACATGCTGGAACGCACCAAATATGAAAATGGAATATCAAAAGTGGGTAAGAACATTACTTCACAGACATAGTTAAAAATATAAAAAAGTACATACAGAGTTAGAGTTTCATAAAAAATGAAGGATTTACCTTCAGCAACTAATTATAAATTATTTAACACTCTAGACACAATTTCTATGAATATTTTGTTGCTTCTTTTCATAAAAATATTTTGAGGTCATTTAGCCAATGGATCAAAATGTGAAGGATACAAAGAGTCAAGAACAAAATTTATCCTAAACTACTAGACTTTTTAATGAAAATATGTGGATAAAGGGAGCAACATGGCATTATAATTTCAAAAATTAAAAGTACCAAGTACGTTATATCCACCCATTAACAAGTGTGTATATTCTCTTTATCAATATAATTTCCAGAACCTCATATAATTTTATTTCTTATGTGCTGTATGTTGAATAGTTTATGACACATATTTTATATTCAGACATTAATATTTGTTCCTTGACCGAATTAGCTTTGAAAACTCTTCTTGATTCACTAAGAAAAGAAAATTACAAAACTATTAGGTTAGTGTGATTCCATTTTCTTAATAGTCAAATACAAAAATAAATGAAAATCTAGGAGAATATGTAAGTAACCTAATGAGAGATTATTTCTGGAATATTAGGTGGTCCCTTATTTTAACTCATTTTGAAACTTTTGTGTCATTTGATGGGGATAAAAGTTTACTACATATGTAATACAAAAGAAAATTGAGAGTTTTGCAACCAGAATTAGGTAAATAAAATTACAAACCTCACACAGAATTGAAAACCAAACAAAGCTAACACATAAGTTGACCTTTCAATTGTGAGGCTAAATTGCAGCACTGAAGAAATCTGTGTTAGCCAAATGTTATGAATTCTTTGAAATTAAAAATTGACACCCCATGGTATGTATCACCATTTGCTGATTGTTATAGCATAGAGAACAACACTAATAAAAAAGCATCATGTTTCACATTTACTGCATCAAGAAGAATCTTCATGGTCCAGTTTATTCTGACTAACAATTCACCTGAGGCTGAACAATCAAAACAGTTATCTTACACACTAAAATTTCACCCAAAACAATGAGAATATTTATAAAGAAGCAAAATATTAAAACACCCAGAATATAAGATGAAATTTTTCCTATGTGATGGGAAATTGTGCTTCTATAGTTAAATGATATTTAAGATGATTATAAAGGTATTATGTCCTTGGTGGAAAATATGCTAAACACATAAGAGCTAAAACAAAATAAAAAGCATTCCTAACCACAGTGATAAACTTATAGGAAAAATGATAAAAAATACATTGTTTCAAAATATAAATATGCATTTTGTGCTTTACAAAACAATTTCCTCAAGTCACTATGTATTACATGAAAATGCTGTTGCAAATTTCTACACAACAGTCTGTAAGATATACATTTATTAAGTTACAATTATTTAATGAGCACCTTATAGAATTGTGTATGCACCATGTTTCAGGTGTAAAAATATTTCTTTAATGAATGTTAATAAATAACATTGCAGATAAATGTCTTCTCCAGAAAGTTTTTCTCATTGCTCATTCTCAAAGGAAAACCTTATGATACCTTCACTGAGATGACAAATCTGAGTGTGGCATTTTATGTCCTTTCAATTTAGCATAAACAAAAGTTTTCAATGCAACGATCTTTCCTGTCAAATGTTGGGAGGAGAAAATTCTTCTTTGACTAAACTTTGCTGTATTCAGAAGGATGTAGACAAAAACAATGCCATATCTTGCAAATAATGCCTCAAAGACACCTCTAGACTGAGTACCAATCTTTCTCAGAAATAGTCTCTATAGCTATCCAGGATAAGGAAGTCATTTGAATCAGTGTCTTAAAATAATTCTGTGTTCCATGTGCCTTTATATATGTTTTAAGAGAAAGACTTCATTGAAATTGATGCAGATTTTTTGTTCTCTTTCTAGGTATCCGCAAACTTATAAATAATGGTTCATACATAGCAGCGTTTCCACCACACGAGGTAATTTTGAAAGATCTTTTCCATTTAATAAATATAAAATATTTGCATTTTATGAGACAGTATTGTTTACTTTTTGTTGCCGTGATTAAACACTACGACAAGTAACTTATGGAAGAAAAGGTTATTTGGACTTCAGTTTTAGAGGGTTAGAATCGCTGAAGGGAGCAGCATGGCAGCAAGCAGCAGGAATGATGGCTAGAGCATCATGCTGAGAACTCACTCTTTTATTTTATTTTAGAACATATATTTTTCTTTTATGTACCAACCACAGTTCCCCCTCTCTCCCCGCCACCCACTTCTCAACATGCCTACCTCCAACCTACTCCCTTGAGAGAGTAAGGCCTTCCTTGGGGAATCAACAAAGTCTAGCATACCACGTTGAGGCAGCACTAAGCCCTTCCCCCCTGTATTAAGGTTGAACAATACATCCCATCATAAGGAGTCGGCTCCAAACAGCCACTTCATGCCCTTGGGATGGGTCCTGGTGCCACTGCCAGTGTCCATACCCCTAAATAACAAATCAAGTCACATAACTGCCTCCCATATTCAGACGGCCTAGTTCAGCTCCATGCAGGTTTCCCAGCTATCAGTACATACACTGTGACACTGCTCCAGTTCAGGTCAGTTATCTCTGTGATTTTCTCCATCATGGTCTTGACTCAAGCAGAGATAGGAACTAGAATGAGACCCTAAACTCTCAAACCCCATGGAAAGTGCTTACTTCCTGTCCGAGCCACAACTCCTAAACCTCCCCAATCAACTTCACCAACCTAGTGTCAAGTTTTCAAATGCCTAAGACCATCAGAGACCATTTATCATTAAAACCATCACAGTGTCTGAACTATTTCATTCATTGGAAGTGGATGTCCACACCTAGAACAGTCCATTGAGACCCTATTACCATCTCTTAGCTTCACAGTGGTCCATCAATCCCAAAATAGATCTAAAGTTTGCCCAATGGGAGGAACCCCAGCCTCCACCAGAGTAGCTTAACATTCTAGCAGCCCTGTGTTCTGCCACAACAAACCATGCTTCATCCTGCTTGAAATTCCCAACCCTTCCAAATAAGTCAGGTTCCTGGCTTGAGTTTGCTATTTTAAAACATCTGAAAGTCAAAAGGCGACCACAATCAAAACTTCCATATATTACCTACCTCACTTCCAGCCAGATTGCCTTGCTCCAAGTTTTAACTTGAAGGCTGTGGATGGCCCTGACCCACTAAAATATCATCTGTTGAGTTTCTCCTTGGCCTCTGCTATACACACTCTTAATTTATTTTTTTAACTTGTGCCACATTTTTAAATAAAGTAGAATTTCACCTCTGCACTTTCAAAAGCCATCACTCTTTTATTTACAAAGTTAATGCAATGAGCTCAAAAGTTAGAGCATATAAGGAATTTGTATAACTATCGGTAGATAAAATGAAATGTAAATGTTGTATTTGTCTATGAGTTAAATGATATGGACTATCTCTCACTTGAAACAACCCCATTATAAATATGTACAATCAGTTAGAAGAAGGTAAAATGTCAAAGGCAGTTATAAGCATAGGAATTGTTAATGGCCTTCACGAAATTCCAACTTACAATAGGGGTAATAATTATGAGTGATTTGTTTATATATTTCATGTGCTGAATCAGCACAGGTTTTACAGTGATTGTGACTGCACAGAAGGAACTAAACGTAATTCTGTCTTCAGATTTAGAAAATACAGCTTAGAAAATTAAACACCATTTCAAATACCCCATAGTAAGTGGTAAACTAAAGTGATCAGAGAAGCACAGCTAAGGGAGTCATTTAACAAAGGAAGGTTTGGCTTATTCCCTTGGGCACAGTAATTTTCTATGCATAATTAGCCCGCACACTGATGGCTCACTTGCCTTTCTCATGGGAAATTTGGTAGCTGTCAAAGCCGGGTTGTTGATGGTAGTCTTTTTAATTTACGTATATAAATTATTTGAAATATAAATACATGGCACAAATATGCAAAAGGAATAAGAAGTCCCACTGTTGAACTATAAATATGCAAAAGAAAATTGAGAGACAATGAAATGGGCTAAGGAATTGTTTATTGACTTGAATTGCTACTTACTCATAGGAGAAAAGCAAGATATAAAAGAAGAAAATAAAGGAAATGCTATTAATCTATATAGTTTGACAAGGATGCTTTAAAATGTTTGTCCTCCTTTTTGATTGATGCGGATAGTAAGTCCACTTCATAATTTTTATTCCTAGTTGAGAGGCTTTTTGTTTGTTTTTGTCTTACAAAAACAGCAATAGCTTGAGGAACATGACAAATCGTTTAGTAAAAATGGGCAGGAAAAGGAAAATCACTAAGCCAGAAGTGCACATGTATGAGAAAACTTTGTCTAAGCTATGAATCAAATATATGATTCTTTCAAGGATGGCTCATGGAGTAGGGTCAATCAAAATTGTTATTAGGGACGATTGACAATGTTTGAGCCTTCAGAAAGGCTCACAAGTGTATGAGTAAGTTGGGGTTATCTTTTCAGTCAGTTCTCCCTTGCAACCCACCGCTTGACACTGTTGGCTAGAGCAGGGTAGCAGTTGGTGTTAAATGGAGGTTGCACAGTCGTATCCTAGGTACACTAAATTTTAGCATCTGGAAATGCATATGATCTAACCACTAAAGCTGGGTGAATGCCATCTATTAGAGCCATTAGCAATGACTGCAAAAGAGCTGCAATTTTTCTATTCATCCTTTTGGTAAGTATCAGGCAGGCAGCAATCTAGGTTCAAGAGCAAACAGTAGTCCCGGGGTATGTTCTGCAACTGCAGTCATATTGTTTTCCATTTTTCTTTTTAATTCCCAATTGTTAGAATTTAAATACTTGGCCTATTTAAGGAGGAAACCCTGGGCTTGCACTTTGAATGCATATCACACTTTCCTTAATTTTCTATTTTATTAAAGAGTCAGAGATAGTATGAAAATATGTTATACCCTTGCAGCCTCAAAGCACTTGCAAACAATAGCTCAAGATGTCAAGAAATCTTCATAAATAACCTCAGCCCTAGTGATTAGGGAACTTTCAACCATAGGAAGCCAATTTGAAAGAAAATGCTACATTTTAAATGCTTAAATTTTGAAATATGAAAAATAAATTTTCAGGACCCTGGAATCTAAGTACATATGTGGCTCTAAAGGAAACTTTTCTGTGTCTAGCTTCTTAAAGCAGAATGCTATTCAATTTCCCAATTGAAGATTGAATAATTTTGTCATTTTTTATAAAAAGATCCTCAGTTCCAAATAGTGAAGTATAGAGTCTCATTTACTTAAGGAAATAGAGTCTAAATTACTTGAAAGATTATTTAAAACATTATTTTCATAAAACTATCGTATTTCCAATGATAATGGTATTTGTTAATCCTGTGGAAGGCTTGAGTATATAATCTTTAATTGTTTTATATGTTGATAAATTACATTGTTGGGGATACATTAGTCCATATTCAGTTCAAATTTTGGTAAGAGACTGGACACCAACTTACATTATTATATCTGTCTCAGGGAGCCTATAAGAGTAGCCTTCCCATCAAAACCCATGGACCTCAAAATAACAGGCATCTGTTGTATGAGCGCTGGGCACGCTGGGGAATGTGGTACAAGCATCAGCCTCTGGACTTAATCAGGTACTGCAGATGGACTAGTCAATAATAAGTAGCAAACTGTTCTTTTGCTTGTTTGGAATTATTTCTTGGAATAATTTATTGGAATTATTTCTTATCACAGCTGTTTCATTTATGGAACTCTGCAGGAAAAAAACAGTATGTGCCTTTTCAATGGAAGGAATTTAATTCAGGGAATTGATTATAGAGTGAATGTGAAAGATAATAAAAGAGTCTTTAAGTCAATCAGAGATTGCAAAGAACAGGAAGTGACTAGCCCTCGTAAGGATAAAGGGGAAATGGCAACATATGTATTACAAACCCAAAGTAGCAAATGCTAGGGAATACCAGGGGAAGGGAAATGATCCTGGGTTGGTTGTTTGTTCTTCCTACCTCCAAGACTTCTAGTATCTCCTTGCCCAGCTTCATGGTAAGCATTTTACAATGGAGCCAGAACAATTGCCTACCTTATAAAAAATAAAAATAAAGAATTACTCAACAGATATGACGGCAGATAGGAAAACACCTGTGTATATGTGGTAGCCTGTCAGTATTCACAAAGGATTCTGAAACTCCTTCCAGAAACTCCTCTCAAATAACACACTCCACAGTGCCCATATTTCTGTTATGTAGTGTGTGCTTGCACATAACCTACACATATACTTTAGCATATTTTCAATTATTCCTAAAGTTTTCATAATAACTAATAAAATGTGAATATTAGGGAAATAGTTGACATGCTATATTCTTAGAGATGAATGGCAAGAAAACTAGAACTTGTGTATTTAGTGCTGACACACCTTTGATCCATGAATAGTTCAATTTCTAAATGTAGAACATAATAATACACAGTACTTCCTACATTTGTCTCTGAAAAAAATGTGTTTTCTTTATTTCAGTGAGTGTTTCCTTTTTTAAATAATATTTTTTTATTTAGGTAAGAAACAATCTTTTTTCACATGTCAATCCCAGCTCCCACTCCCTCCATCCCCACCAGGTCCCCCAGTCCCCACCCAATCTCCACTCCGATCTCCAGGGAGGGAAGGCCCTCAATGGTGGATCGCCAGTAACTGTCATTTCATCCAGGGCAGGGCCTAGGCCCTCCCCCAAGAGTCCCAGCTGAGAGAGCCTCCCATATTGTGGCATGGGCACTCAAAGTCTATTTGTACGCCAGGGGTAAATACTACCCAAGGCCCCATATATTACCTAGGCCTCCTCACTGACACCCACATTCAGGGGGTCTGGGTCAGTCCCATGCTTTCCACACAGCCATCAATCTGGAGTCCAAGAGCTCCCCCTTGTTCAGATAACTGTTTCTGCGGGTTAAACCAGCCCAGTCTTAACTCCTTTGCCCATAAGTTCTCTCTTTCTGACACTGGATTCAAGGAGTTCAGTTCAATGTTTGTCTGTGGGTATCTGCCTCTGCTTTCATCAGTCGCTGGATGAAGGTTCTATGACTGTTTTCTAGTAGGTAGTTGCTCTTAACTTTGTCATCTACCTGTCTGTTGGTCTATCTATCTAGCATCTATCTATCTATCTATCTGTCTATCTATCTATCTATCTATCTATCTATCTATCTATCTATCTTCCATTTATTTTGAGAAGGTGTTTTACTATGTATCCCTGGCTGGCCTGGAACTTACTATGTAAACAAGGCTAACTTTGAACTGACAGAGATCTGCCTTCCTATGCTAGAACAAAAAGGACACATCACCATTCCTAGATTCAGTTTTATTTTTGGATATTTATGTTTGTGGTTTACACATTTTATTTTAGTGCAGAAAACATTGTTTATATAAAAGCATGAAACATGTTATTACTATCCTGATTATCTAACTAATGATGAATATCTATAAGAGAAAAAAATTTATAAAATTAGGCTTTGTGTTGATATTCTTATCTGTTTTTGGAACATAAAGAATAGTTCACAAAAGGATCAGTGTGTCAGTAGGAAGCAAACCGCTGAAGGAGTGCTTGAAGGGACATCACTAAAAAAGTATGCACAGTCGTGGGAAGTGGGATCATAAAAACCAATACAACAACATGCTCAGGGACTAGTAAAAAACTAGAAGTAATTATTAAACCTTACGTTAAAGATGCAAGAGGATGAAAGACTTGTCAGGACCAATTAATAACTAACCACAGAAGGAGGTGCCAGATACAAGTTGTGACCTCAGGAAGATAGTAGTTGTACACATCCATGACCCAAGAAAAGGAAGTCATCTACCAGATAAGTCTTGAAACCAACAAGCCTTCCTGGAAGCCAAAAGTTTTAAAAAAGAGAGTAGATAAGGGTCCACAGTGGTGAACTCTGTGTGTCAGAGGGTAGGAATTGGAGTAAGCACTTCGAGACACACAGGATGAATACTCAGCAAATGTTAGTATCTGAGTATATGCATTATCAAGATACTTGTATTCTTAGCCTGTCAGCCATGACAAATTCCATTATTCTAATTTACAAATTGTTTCAGGGATGTACAGACACAATATGGTGAGATACGCTGACTCACAAAGAAAATGCTTATTAGGAACTAAGATGGTGGTTTTTGAGTAGTGTTTCAATGTGAGTTACTATTCCTATCGATGGGCAGCATTACTATTAGGTTTCAGGTAAACTGAGACATGATCCTATATCAATAATGGGGCTCTCTATTACTAACATCCAAGGTTATTTGGCTACTATTGTTTGATTACTCACAGAGATGGGTAATTTCCCCATAAAAGCAAGGTGACTAAGCAATGATGTGTCATGAGAGACTCACCAGAAAAGGGTATGTAATAAAGGAGTACAGGTGACATTTCAAAGGACAGCATTTTCTAGGAATTTAGTTATAACAAAAACTGAAGCAGTGGTGTGAAGGACATTAAGGTTAATCCACACAAGATTATGTATCTATTTTGTACAAGGCCCAATTTTCCAGAACTTCTGTTTGTAGTTAAGCTGGTAATGGGTCTTTATGTAGATTGGTGTGTGACAGCTGGGTTCTTTTGATCATAGCTGATGGGATTCACACAGGCAAATTCAGCATTGTCATGTTCAGTAAGGAAATGCCTTAGTGTGATGTATGAGCCAAAGGCTGTCAACTCATCTTCTTTCTTTTTAATGAACAATCATTTCTGGAGATGTGTTTATATTGTTTTCATGCTTTAAAATTGATTCAAATACTTAATAGCTAAAGCTTGTTTAGTGTCAATCTAATTTCCCATGGAAACTTTTGAAACCCAAAGGAGTGCTTTAAGAAAAATCATCAGTTACAAAAGTAATGGTATGACATTTCAAACAATTTCAACAAAGGTATCAGGGATTTCAATTTAAAAACTAAAGTTGTTGAATTAAATGACTATTTCTAAAACCATAGATACCAGGTTTTACTTTGACATAGAAATTGTTTCAGCATGGGACAGATGAAGTGAAATGTCACAAGGGGAGCTTTAAATAAAACAGACACAAAGCGAATAGCTTTTGTTGAGCAGTAGTGGGGAACTGCTGCAGAAGGATTCTTTTGTTCTCTTTCTTCTGTGGAATTTTGTTGTACCTCTAAGGAATAATTAAGTATTATAGATAATTGTAAATTCCTGTGTCCTAGGGCAATGTCATTTTGGGCCATTTTTCTTTGTACTCAGCTAGCTTCTCCATTTCCTGACACACATTGAAACCTGCTTTGACTTAGATCCCATTTTAACCTAATAATATTGCTTATATTAACTTAAAATGCAGAATAGTATATTAATTTAATGAGCAGATAGGTCCCTGTAACTACTGTCCCCATTACTTTAAAGATATGCCATTGTTCACAAGCAGAAAGGGAAGCCTTGTTGATGAGAACCATATTTGAATTTTCTTCCCAGCTTCAATCACAGTGAAGCACCAATCTTAAACAATGTAACTGTGTGCAGGGGTATGTTATATAACAGGTTTTAGAAAATGGAGACCTCACAGTAGTGAGGAAATCAGGAAATGTAAAATTATTGCTATCAACCCTTTATAAATTATGAAACTATAAAATAGCCAACTTCGGAGTGGGTAAAGGAAGAACAATTGAGTGCATCTTAGAACTGCCTCATTAATCTGCCACTTCCATATCACTAAAAAGTACATTAATTCCTAATAGTGTCTGCTCATGAAGCAATGAGCAGTTCTGTTTTCAAGAAGCTTAAATGTTTTGGAGGCAACACAGAATTGAGGTATAAAGGACAGTTATGCTAAGGCATCATGACTATGTCACTAATTAGGGCATGGATTAGAGAAGCGTGGGAACAAGAGCAAAACAACTAACATGGGTTAGATAGAATGGCTCCCTGACATAAAGAAAGAACAAATGCCAGTTACAGGATGAGGGAAATTTTTGTTTTAGTTTGAGGCCAGTGATAATGGATGGAAATGTTGTCCAGACAAACAATAGAGATGGGTGGAAGATGAGGTATAACCATGAAGACTGTAGCATAGGCACATCTGGCCTGGAGTTCAATTGGAGACACATCTACCCTGAAATGAGAATCCAATCAGATGGCCAACTGAGTTTTGTCTTTTATTATCAAGAAAACATAGCTCTGTTAGAGACTAAAAATGTATACTATTAGGAAGAGTGAGAAGTGCAAGTTTGGGGTTATGAAAACCATTTTTAAATAGCTGGACCAGAAATAGGTACTGTTGAAAGTTTACCAAAACACATCAGGGCCATTATGACAGTCATTAACAGCCAGGAGGGTCAGAAACCCTAGTGTTGCTGAAGAGTATGTAAGCTAGAGGCCTCAGTTTCCATCTGAAATTGTCACTCGTGGTATTTGAGATTGTTGGATCATTTATATTGCATTCATGTAAACTGAAGGTTGGCTTTCCCGTGCAGGCTATACTTTGGTGAGAAGATTGGTTTATACTTTGCCTGGTTGGGATGGTACACTGGAATGCTGATTCCTGCCGCTGTTGTTGGTCTGTGTGTTTTCTTCTATGGATTAGTGACAATGAATGAAAGTCAAGTAAGGTGAGCTATGAAGAGACTTGTCCAAAATATTTGTCCTGCTTTCTGAAATTACAAATGCCTATGGATGGTGGAAGTAAATAATACTACTGCTGTGTGTGTGAGCTTGGTTTTGTTCTTAGTGTAACAGAAGTGTTGTTAAAATGTCATTTTATAGTTTTATATGCAAATTCTTTTGAATATGTCCCAAGAGTTCTTATCTCTTTGCTAAATTTATTTTTCAGTGTGTATAACATAATCTAAAAATGTCAGCAAACTTTGATTTAACAAAAGTCAATCAAATATCAAAAATGTGATTACACTTTTAAAGTACAGTGGCATAAAGTTAGAAATAGGAAAAAATTATCCTTACAAACAATGCATTATTTTTCAACACAAGTGAAACATTGAATTTACTTCCATATAATCATGTTCAAAACACAAAGAATCCCCTGCTGGTGCTCAGCAGTTAAGAGCCTTGTCTTTACAGAGGACCTGGTTTTGGTTGAACCACACATAACTCCAGCTCTAATGGATCTGACACCTTCTTCTGGCCTTTAAACACACCTACATAGTCATGGTACATACATACGCATACCCTCAGGATCATGTGCATATACACAAAATCTTTAAACAAATCTTTAAAAATCTTATCAAAACTCAGCTTTTGTTGATCTTTTTGTAATGACCTGGTTACTAGGACATACATATTAACAACTATTGCTGATACAAAATTATATATAGTATCATAGATATTACTTTCCTGGTACTTCTCTCTGAAATATTAAAATACGTGTAGTATTTTTGCCTGGAAAAAACATCTGCATTGCATTGGAGTTGTATAGCCAAACTCTTTGATTTGAAATTTCTGAATTGCCTTGTTTTTCAAAACAAGCTCTGTAAACCAAAACCATATAATCCAATCACAGGTTTCTTTCAGGGTTTCACAGAATCACTCTGATGCTGAGAGACAACATCATCCTGTACAAACCTCAGCCTTAAGACCTCCCTCCTTCTCTGCCACTTTGGACGGGACAGATTCCTATATAATATTCAGTAAGGGATCATTTGACTCAGAGGACAGCCTGGAATTTACAGCTAAAGTGCCCCGAGAAAAAAGGCTGTCCTTTTGCAATGTATGAGCAAATAGAAGCAAGTACTATTCTAATGACACATAAAAGGGGAGTGAGTCTGAAGGGGAGCAGAGGGAGGGAGGAGCTGGAAGGGAGTGGGGGAAAGGAAATTATAATCAGGTTATATTCTCTGAGAAAATAATCTGCTTTCAATAAAAAATAAATATGAGGAAATGACCTCTCAATAGTTGCTGGTCAGGTTGGATACATAGAGAACCTTCTCATAATTTCAAAACTTCATATAGTTTTACTGTAAGTTACAGACACCTCCCTCCATCAAAACAAACATGAAGATACACAAAAAGTAGGAAATGCACAAAAAGTAAGAAACTTACTGTCCCTATTGATTTTGTACTTCTGAAGCTTTCTTTTGTGTTTGTATTCTTTAACCTTTAGTACAAGGAGTATTTTAAAAGGCATTAACAAACCTTTCAGTTTTGTGCTTTTACCACTGCAATCACACTATAATTAAGATCTTGTCAGACTTTCTATTCTAAACCAAGATAAGAATCACTGAATATCTTGACTTTCAAAATTTTGAGACTAAAAGCTTCCATTCAAGGTGCCAGACATGGTTGGGTCCTGGCTGTTATCTTGGTGGGTAGGCAGGAACGAGGCTGTTCCGTGTTGTGTTGATTCATCTTACTATCTTCTTAAGTTCCTTTTTAATTTTTTTACAAAGTAGTGAAATTATAAAGAGCTGGAGGTATAGGTCTGTTTATTATGGATCTACAAGAAACTGACAACCAAATTGCAGTCACATTACTTTTCTGTTTGTGTTTTTGCTTTCCTTTTTGCCTCTTATTAAAAATGGATTTTTGCTGATGCAATGTGGTTTCCTCCATCAACTCCTCCCAGTTCCTCCCCACCTCCACTCCTTTTGGATCACCCACTCTCTGTTTCACATTAGAAAATAAACAGGCTTCTAAGGGATAATACATTTTTATGTAATAAAGAGAGAACAAAAACTAATACATTGGGATAGGATGAAACAAAACCAACAAACAAAAAAGGAGGAAAAAGGAAAAGAGCCCAAGGCATACGATTGATCCTGCTGATCTAGAAAGACTTGTTTCTTAGTAACTGCCATCTCCCCTCTAACTCTTACAGTTCTGCTTCTCCTCTTTCCACTGAGTTCTCAGCCCTGAGGGGAGAGATTTGATGATATTATGTTAGGTCTCTCTGCATAAGGTCTGGCTGTGGGTATCTGTATTTGTTCCCATCTGCTGCAGGAGGAAACCTCTGATGATGTCTGAGCAAGGCATTGATCTGTGAATATAGCAGAATGACATTGGGAGTCATTTTATTGCTATTTTTTATTTTCTTTTTAGAATCCAAGTATTTTGTCCTTGCACCATATTGTCTCAGGTTCTTGGGTCATCCAATCATTGTCAGATAAGTGTTCCATCTCACAGTGTGGGTCTTATGTCAAATCAGATATTGGCTGGTAAATAACACAAGTTTTGAGTCACTATTTCACTAGTATCTCTTGCAGGCAGGACACCATTATATACTGCATTAAGTGGTCTTACTGTAAGTTGGTAAAGGGTTCATCTCTGAAAGCACAAACTCACCCTCACAGATACGTGAAGGGTTGTTCTGTCTGAAATTCGAGGTAATTAAAGAAAAAAGATTAAAGACCATGGTCTAACTCTGTACCTTCTAACAAGTACAGACACAGAATGAAGGTGGAAATGCAAACCTTGCATCCAGCCTTTGGTTACCATGCAAACTGAGGACTGAATGCTTCTCAGCTAAGCACTGCTTCCACCATCTCTCTTGAAATCCTGATTTTATTTCTTTTGTAAAATATCTAGAAATGAAATTGCAGCATCATATGGTATCATATGAAAGAATTTTTAAAAATCCTTTTTGAAGCACTTTACAGTTTACCATAACAGCATAGCATTTGAGATTCTCACTAGTGTACTGAAGTTTCAGCATCTCCACATCCTTAGCAATACATTGTTTCAGGGTTACTATAAAATGTTCTAGTAGTTCAGGCTGGAGATAAATCTCAGTTGGAGAACACTCACTTTATTTGACCAAGGCTCCGGGTTCAATCCCTAGCAACCTCCCCAAACCCTCAATAAAAGAATAAAATTCAGTCTTCATTGGTTGGTGGTCTTGATTTACAGTTGCTTGATGTTTACACCTGATTCTAAAATGGATGCTTTGTTCATGCTGCCATGTCTAAGCTGTTTTCCCTTTGTCTGGGTTCACCTGTATGCTTCAGTGTGTTTATCACCCAGCAGGTGTTTCCTGCCCTCTGCTTGCCATGAAGAAATGACACATTCATGATTGGATTTTCCATTCCCCCTGTGTGTTACGTAAAATAAATTAGTGATATGCAAATCCTCTGTTTCAGAGAGGAGACAATTGTCCAAAAACTGAAATGATTATTTCTCATCTCTGGTGAGATGGCTTGGTGCATAAAGGCAGTCAAGCCTAAATAACTGAGTTGGATATCTGGAACCCACACTAGGAAGGAGAGAACTCTTACAAGGTGTCCTCGGACTGCCAAAAGCACCCTTTGGCATGCATGAGTCTATACACACACATACACACAAACACACACACACACACACACAAACACACACACACAAATAAATGAAATACAAGAATTATAAAAAACAAAAGTAAATTGTTCCACAGAGAATGATGGCACGCATCTATAATCCCAGGACTTGAGAGGTGGAAGTAGTAGGATTGGGAATTCAAGGTCAGTTTCTGACTATATAGGAAGCTAAAGCATCCCTGAGCTAGATGAGACCAGTCTAGTGAAACAAGTGTCAAATTTTTTTAATTTTTTAAAAAAGTTATCAAATTCAGATTTGAGCAAATGACAGAAATTGAATTTTATGATCATGATAGCAAAAAAGACTCTTCGTAATGATTTAAGTTCTGAACATGGTAATTTGACAATAAAGACTTTCTTTCCTGGTAAAGTAAAAAAAGTATGATGCAGTATAGACCAACCCTAAACCTTCTCTTTGTGTGAGAGTCCAATGTATAATGAATTTTCTGGCATTTGTGATATACAAAGGAGCTATTATTCATCCATTTTATTGAAATTTTCTTCAAGATGTATGTAAATTTTTCTTGTTTTTTAAATTTGTACAATTGCAAGATGAGATACTGTGTTCTCTTACTTTTTGGTGTATATTTTTTGTGTATATTTACCATTTCCCCCAACTGAATGTAAACATCCTAATTACTGTAAAAAATGAAAATGGAAGAGTAATAGTTTGGCATGCATCATATTATCATTGATCCATCATTCATGATGGACAGATTCTTCTGAATTTGAAATGAACTTGATTCTGTTTCAAATACATTATAATTATTGGGACACTAGATCTATAATCAGTAAATTCTTAATGTCTCTGAGGTACCCTTCTTAGCTCGGTGACCTTGTGCATGACCTTTATATGTTTATGGTTCCTGTGCTAAGCAGAGGTAATTGGCATTACCTTAGATAGGTGAAAACTGCGCAGTTCAAGAGGACTCAGTTCCTCTTTTTCCTGAAGCACCATTGCTACTTCATATCATTGTGTACTGTTTGTTCTCACTTTGTGTGGAGGCTAGAATCTCACATTCAAGTACACATTTTTTTGGTGTTTACTCAACACAATTTTTTAAAGCAACAAATCATGCTGCAAACTTTGCTAATTAAATTTAAATTGACAGTTGCATTTCAAAATATGTTTTCTAAAGCCGTTAAATTCTTTTCAAAGTTTTAAAGTTGATTTTATTTCAAAAACATTTTACTAGGGTAATACAAAGAGGAGGAATGATCACGGGAGTCAGATAAAGGCAAAAATATCTTAAAATAAGTGGCTGTGAGCTCTGAATAAATGAATAATTTAGGAAATAATTTAGGAAATTGTTAATGATTCCTCACTCTTATCACAAAGTGATCTATAATATACACTTGAATATTTATGGTGTACATAAAATGGAAGTGATACATTCATAAAATCACATACTCATTGAAAATATGTTTACATGGAGATAATGCACGCACACGCACACACACACACACACACACACACACACACACACCTTAAATTCTTAGAGAACATTCTGCATAAGATTATGTACTGAAGTTTAAGTTAAGGATTATCATCTCACTATACTAGATTACTTCATTCTAAAATGTGAGGTTGGTGAATACTTCAGAGATTACTGTCTAAGATAATTATGTATGCCATGATACATAATGGATCAAAATGCCTTTATATTAAAATAAATTATTATACAAGTTAATGTATGATCTGTTGTTATTATATTACTTGTCAGAGTTTTCTGCAATTAAAGAAACAAACAGGAAGCTCTCTATCACAAATATCATAAAATATTTACATGGAAGCCATTGTCTAACTCTATCCTGTTTGTTTCATATTTCCTTATGTTCCTCTCTGCATTGCTGTTCCAAGTAGAGTGTTTTGCAGGGTCTAAGACAGTGGTTCACACTTTCTCCCTTGATTTTTTAAGCCAAGAAATTTGTAAAGCAACTGAAGTTTTCATGTGCCCTCTGTGTGATAAGAATTGCTCATTGCAGAGACTCAATGACAGCTGCATCTATGCCAAGGTGAGTGTGGGTCTGCGCTGTCCCTGCCCTGAGCAACAGTGTTTCTAAGACTTGGGTAGTAAAAAGATGCCCAGTAAATCGTTTTTCTGCAAAAATTAATTATCTCCAAATATTTCATCAATCATTCTTGTCATTCACAACCAAAAAAGAAAATCAGTCTGTTGCAATTTAAAAAAAGATTACATTTTATTTTAATCTTTTTTCTTCTTGTGTTATTATAACTGGTAACTGATACCTTAGATACAAACCTCCACTTGACATTGCATCTTATTCATTTTATGAAAGTAATTATTTCCATGGTAATGATTCAATTTCTATCTTTCATGAATTTATTAAGTTAAAATATTTCTAGCTACACAGGGGAAATGAAATGTTATTTCCCAAAGATCCACACTGCTATCTATCAGGATTACCTGAAGGACTTTTAAACTTGCAAAGCGCAACCTCATCCCAGAGTCATTAAATTGGAATCTCTAGGTTAAAATCTAGATGCCATCACATTCCAAAATTTCTAAATGTTCCTAGGTGAGCGCAATGTTCATACAAATAGAAAGGACACCAGTTTTCACAGTATTTATTTTCAAAAATTTTATTGGAGAATAATTAATATGTAGTAAACTAGACTAGACCCACTTGAAAAGTAAAAATCAGTAACTTTTGTTAATGCACATGTACCTGTGAAGCACATCATGGCAGTGAAGATAATGATCATGTCTGTCACCTCCAAAAGCTTCTACACACCCTCTTACTCTCTCGTCCTTCCCTGCCTCTCCCACACATACCTTTTCTCCCCCCAGCTCCTCTGTTTAGGTAACCATTTACAATGTGTCATTAACGATAAGCCTGCATGTTTCTTGACTTATGTGTGTATGACATTAAATGGTATGAATTTTTATGACTTCTCTTGCACACTGTTGCAGTTTTGAAATTCATCTTACAATGTGGCATTTATCAATAGAAAGTTCTCCTTGTTGCTGAATACTATTCCCTTTTCTTTATATCAGTTATTTGCTTGCATATTAATGCATTTCCCATTTTAATTACACCTTCTAAAAGTACTCATTTCCTGGTCTTATGGCTGACAATTGTCATTTTTCTTTGTTCAATATCTAGAAATAGAATAGTCAGGTTATGTGATATATTTATTATTAACTTCTGTGTAGTCCAGTTTATCTTACTGCAATGATTTGCCTGAGGCAAGTCACCTATATAAGAAAAGAGGTTTATTTTAGTTCATTATTATTGAGGTACCATACTCCAGGGTACCATCTAGTAAAGGTTTTCTTGCTGACAGAGACCCAGTGTAATGCAAAGGGGAGACACAAGGTGAGATTGTGTTTGGTCATTCTCATTTTTATAAAAATCAAGAATTCTTTCATAAGGACTGGACTCCTCTGATTACTTGTACAATCCTAATCACTTCTCAAAGTCCCCAACTCAAAACATAAGAACCAGACTACATTTTCACCTGTTATCTTAAAAGTAATCAAAATATGTACATAATGACCTTTTAACAAAGGGCTGAACAACCATTATCCAAAATGGTTAAACTATAGTATACACCATGTCTTTTGCAGTCATGTCCCAGAGTTGTTTCTCACAGTCATCTAGCCTCAGTGTGTCTATCTTTGTAATTGCAATGACTCTGGTAGATGACTATAAGTATGTAATCATGGTTTAGTTACTTGAAAATCATTTAATGTCTAGAAGGGACCTTTTTGCTTTCAAAATATTCTATTTGAATTGCTGCTGTGCTCTGTCTAGATATAAACTGTTCTACAAGAAAAGAAAGACCTTCCTGTGTACTCTGCTAAGGTATTAGAAGTAATGAGGAGTTCTAGAACGTCTGATGGAAGTATGTGCTTGGGGAACGCTGGTTCATTCTTGGTGCTGTCTTTTACCTTGTATAGTTTCCTTATATACATGCTCACTTAATGCAGTTATCACCAGATTACTTAAGTGAATTATTTTCAATCCAATAGTACCTTATATGCCTGGAGCTCTTTTAGGACAGTAGTCTCAAGTAATGATGATGCTTTATTTCTTTCCTACCTCTCCTGTTGCTATAGCTACTTTGTACCGTTTTGGTTGTTTCTAACATAGGTGTAAAATTGATTCTTGTTGGTCTATCTTGTCTTGAAGTAGAGTTTCCTATAATAATTAATTTTCACAAGGTTCAATGTAATATCAATAGTTAATCACTTCATCACAAATCAAAAATTTATAAAGTTAGCTTCTGAAATTTTGTCTTGAATAATTAGTATTTCAAACTTTTGAGTTCTCTGAGAAGGTCCAACGAAGATGATACAGACCTTGATATGACTATCCTGTTTTGTAGCTGTATTTTCATATCACTTTTAAATAATTCCGACATAGCACATATAAATGATACAGAATAGATATAATAAAGACAGTTAGTTAGATAGGTAGGCTTATATACAAGTCACTGCGTTAATAAACTTATGAACTGCCATGATGTTCCAAAATTGATAGCTTAGGGATAACAAAGGTTTAGATATATGTTACTTTGTACTTATAAATTTTCTTTGAAAGATCCAAAAATGGCAAGTCACGAACACTAAAGATAAAAATATTTGTATGTGTTGGAGTTAAAAAGCAGAGAATCTGTCCAAAAAATTTTAAATCTATGGGACTTTTGCAAAAAGTCAATATGAATAAGGACGATACACATAAAGACGTAAATAGTTCAGGACTTATTTGAAAATTCACAAGGAAGTACTGGAAAATATTGCCTCATGAAACAATACAAGAAAAAAGTATGAAGTTTTTAAGGTGCTGCATTTCTCTATATAAATTACTTATAACTTCTTGCTTTATAACTGTAAATATTATTATTATTATATATTTAATGGAAGCAATGAGTCATTATTTTATGTGCTAAGAAGTCTAGATTTCTATCACTACTCACAAGACAAAGTAACTTGTCATTTGAGTTCCATAAGGAATCCATCAATTCCTGAGACCATGGAGAAGAAACTAAATACTACCATATCTTACTTTAAAATGCATATGTGTTTGAATGTAAAAATTATTTTTACCATATATAAACATTTCCTTCAGTTGGCTACTTTGCTTTTAGGTTTGTGGATTAATCTCAGCGCTTTCAATTCAACTCCATTGGTCAACCTGTCTATTTTTGTGCCAATACCAAGCTAGTGATCACTAAACCAAAGTTTACACATTTGGTGTACATTGCATCTGGATATAATGTATATAGGCCATTATGCATTATCTCTGCTACTCAAAAGTTAAAGATTAAAAAGTGAGAAATAATTGCATCCCAGAGTAAATTTCAATCCCCTTAGGAGCATGCCAACACTGACAGCCTGGCCTACAGGACTAGATTAGTACAGGAGATCCCTGCTAATTTACTGTAGATGAGACCTTGTGAGTATGTCACTATCTGGACATCATGCAGTTCCAAAATTGTAAGAAGTGTTAGAGGAAATCCACTAGCCAGAGTAGACAAGACACAAACTCAAGTTTCCAATGTCACAGGAAGATTATGTCCTTAAACAATAGTAGCATTCATCAATGACTTACCATGCTCAGGCAAAATCACCTTTCAACCACCATGAAGAATTGGTACTGTTGGGCCAGTACAGTACCCCCTCCCTTCTTACACTACCCTCTGCTCACCAACAATGTAAAATTAAATTGTTGTTCATATATCTGTTTAGTCACAAATGCAAGCTATTTTTGAATAAAACAAGTCATTGAAAATGTGAATTACCTCAGGTCTAATCTTCCAACAACCACAGTGTGTTCAATTTACCTCTCTCTGTATTCCCCATTTTAATGCAGCAGTTTTTCTGTCAGTATCATAAAGTAATTAGTAACTGGATTATACACACAGGCTACTTGCTTATCTCTGTGATCTCCAATATCATGATACCTTTCATGTGTAAACAAGTTGTAAATCTAACAAAATTATTTTAACATCATTACACTCCTTCACATTTTGAAGTCTTCCTTGGTTCTCATTTTAGTTCTACCTTCTGTTACATGTATATAATCCACAATTAAAATACGCATTATATAAATGTTACATATACCCACTTTAATTGATATTATGTTTCTAAAATGTTAATTACCAAGTTTGAGCTTAAACATGCCTAAAAGGTTTATTAGTGAACTTATTAAGAGATAGTGGAAACCACTTTAAAAGGGAACACTGAATAAACTACAAGCAATCTCATCCACAAAGCATGTTTTTGTTTTTGTTGTTGTTGTTGTTAACTATGGCCTTTTACTTCCAGTTTTCTAAAAGCATGGCTGTTTCTGAAGCAGGGGGAACCCTTATTTCTTGGTGACCTTTAAGTCCTCATATGTAAAGTCTCAGTAGCACTCTGAGAGGCTGTTCCTGTACTGTTTGTTTAAAGAGAGAAACTGACAGCTGTTCAACTGTTAAGATAGCTCAGGTCTCTCTGCTGGGTGCCCCAGGAAACAAAGAGGCTAGCTTCCCCTGCTGCATGTAATTTTATGAGCTCTGTGGGGGAATTTTTCTATGATACTTGTCTCTGCTCTCCATAATGATGATTCTGAAAAGCAACACATAATATTTTTAGAAATCTCCAGCTTTAACCAAAATAAAATTTTAGAACCACAAAGAATACTTTGTACTCATACCCAGTCCCCAAGGCTTCTCTTTGGTGTTTCTTTTTTGTGCTGTGCGGCAGGATAAGACCCTTTCATGTACATTCTAGACAAACCCACTGTCACCAAGCTAAGCATCATTCATAATGTTTTTAAATGACTACAATTGAAATATAAATCAGTACTATTGTAATGTCCTCATTAGGAACAGTCTTGTCTATAGACTGAACAAGGGAGATACCATTCTACCCCAACTTCTCTTATAAGACTGTCATTTAACCCATAATTTGCCTAATCTTCTTTGGGCGATAATACTCTCATTTTCCTCTATACAATTGCCTTCCTTATTGGCAGTTTCATTTTCTGTGATCTTATTTACCCCTGGTAAACTGAACTTTGCAAATTTAAATAAAAATCCGGTATTAAATTATTCATAGGTTTTGGACTCTACCTTGCACATGAATCATCTCTTTGCATATCCTTGTAGTATATGCTACCCATCTGCTAGCTATATAGAAGCCCTTGGGTAAGAGCTATGTTTTTAGTATCAGAGTATTTGTAGTCAAGTAACTCTTGCATGGTAGTGTTATGCAACCTCAAAATGCCCCCTTCACTCACCTTCCTTCATCTGAACATGTAGATTTCCTCTCACATCGTTTCTACAAGTAGGGTGAGTATAGTATTATAAAGATTTTTGTCCACATTCACAACTGATTTACTGTATATAGATTTATTTGTTCCATCCTATATTTGGCTACTATAGTTAATCTTTTATGTGACAGACTTATATATTAAACTATATCAAACAGGGTTTAGCACAGTCAGAAGTTCTGAAGTACTTTGCAATGTATCCCCCATATATATTCAGAGGACTGCTGTTTTTTCAGTGATATTTATTTACATGTCAAATTTTTACTTTAACTAATTTCTGACAAAAGTGTTGTGTAAATTAAAGAAACACTAGCAAATCAGACTTTACTACATATGAATTTTATTAAAATCATCAGTCCTTGCAATTCTGAAAATTATATTCTATAACATTGAATAATTTACATCCTTTATCAAACTTTATATCAGGTAACAGCTAATTATATCAGATAATAGCTAATTAAAATGTGCTTGATGATTTATGAATAAAACTTCTTAAAACGGCTTAAGATGAAACTCTTTACATGAAGTAAATCAATACTGCAGCCATGGCACACTTTGGAAAACATGAACAAGAGTAGCACCATGACAGCATTCGGTAGAAGAAGCTTGCTCAATACTTCTTTTCTTTGTTGTGTAACTTCCCCATTCTGGAAACTTTTGCTGACAGAAAGAAAAATTATAATTCTTTTAATTACACTAACATTTTGCATTTCACAGTATGAATATGTTTGACTATGGTGTAAAGTGATTTCTTTGGGGATCCAGAAACACTTAAAAGCCAGAATGAAGTTAGGGTACAAAAGGATCAGAGGGAAGACAGAAGGAAAATCTGTTGTTTCCTCATCTCTTCCCATGAAGAAATTACATAAATTATCAGAGGACCAATGAAGATTCCAAGTCAATAGATTAATAGACTATACAATGTTGTGATAGAATCTGGAGAGAAATTATGGTACCTAATACAAACAATATCTTCTATTTTAGTATAATCAATAATTAGTATGATTAATGTTTCTATTTTTTTCTATTAAGGTAACATATTTGTTTGATAATGGAGGGACAGTCTTCTTTGCTATTTTTATGGCAATATGGGGTAAGTATTTCTTTTCATTACTAATTTTTCAACTCTGACTTTCTAACTATATTTCTGTGCTACATACATATGTGTACCCTCAAGTGTGCATGCACACATGAATACACACACACACACACACACACCCCACATGCAAGTGCCATTCATACCATGTACGGATTCAACAATGAAATCTCTAAGACAGTACTTATTTGTTTTCCCTCTTCATACATTTATTTATTGGGATTTAACTCTTATTTAATCCTTTAGTCTCTTAGGCTTAGACTATCAAAGATGGGTGTTGACCAAAAGCAAACTAAAACCAAAATTAGGCCTCTTGTATTATTACTGGTACAAGAAGTGGTGATGAGTTTGCTTGATGATTTTACTTGTTTGTTGTTGTTGTTGTTATGTTTTTCGAGACAGGGTTACTCTGTGTAGCTTTGTAGACCAGGCTGACCTCGAACTCACTAAGATCCACCTGCCTCTGCCTCCCAAGTTTTGGGATTAAAGGCATGTGCCACCACTGCCTGGCTTTTACTTGTTTTGCCCTGTGCTTCATACCTTTAGAGGGACGTACAGATAGATATATGATTGAACAAAATGTAATGTGTTGCAAATTCTATTTCTAGCCAGCAAGTAAAATCCATACTAATTAAGTAGAAGTATATTTTTAACCTTTCCCTCACGTTTCTCATTGATATTCTAAGGTACCTAATTAACTGAAACCTGATGTGTACCTGATGTGCAAGTTGGAATTGCTGTAAGGACTTTGAGGACTTTAAGGGAGAGTATCATTTTCCTGGATAGAGTCAGTTTTCTTGCTGGTCCTGATGAATGCATTCATTGTCAACTGGCCAAGCGAAAAGACTTGTGCATGTGTGTGTGTGTGTGTGTGTGTGTGTGTGTGTGTGTGTGTGTGTTGCATGTGCACGCAGACACGCGCTATTGTAAAAAGTGAAATGTATTAGAATGTGACAAGTTTTCATTATTATTGTCTTAATTTCTCACGATCAAAAACTCTGCCATATCATATTTCTGGCTTAGAAATAAACAAACAAAAAATTACCATCCAAATTATGCCCCCCCCAAAAATGCTTGATTTGTGATCCTGGATTACAGAGAAAAGGAGTGAAGAGTTAACTCCAGTTTCTTGTTTAAACATAAAATATGGCTTTGGTCCTCAGATTTTGTGTGAAGAATGGTTATTATTAAGTTATCAGTCAGTGCTACCATGGTGATGTGTATTAATTTTGCCTTATTCCACAAACGTTTCCCAGAGAAACAAACCAAAATACAAAGCATGATTATATAAAACACATTTCAGCCCAGCTGAAGACTGTAAGGAAAGAAAGCTTTCAGGTGACGGATCTGCTCTGTTTCTGCTGCACACCTTCTGCTTTTGCAGCGCTCCCTGTGCAGGTGGCACAGCAATGATCTCGCAGAACCTCTTGAAAGGTGAATTTACACAAACGTCAAGATGATGATGAACTCTTGTCCTAAGCAGCCATCCTTCTAGTTTTATATTGAGGTTCGAAGTGGAGGTATATCATCCATGGGAATGCCATCTTGCACGCTTTCTCCACCTTCTGGCATGGATGAATCACTCACAGCTGAGTTGTAATAACTAGAATTTCCAAAATTGACATCATAAGGTTCTGGTGCATTGTCTAATCGCAGAACTGAAAAAAACAGTGAAATCAACAGAATGCTTTTATGTAATATTCTCAGTGATGAGTGCTCAGTCGCCTGATTACATTATCATACTGTTCCATGTGAACTTCTCAGACAAGTAGATTTTTGCATGCCACACTTATTTCTATGAATAAGAAAGCAGTGGCGTTTCTAAAATTCTAAATTGACACAAAATTAAGAAAATAAGAAAAGCATATCAACAAAGTACACCAATACCTTATACATGAAAATATAAATATAACTAACTGACTTTAAATTTTGTGGTTTCAATCTCTGGTACCAAAATTATTTTTTTCAAAAAAAACATCATACTGATTATTATAGTGCCTTGATAGTCAGCCCTGTGAAAGGAAGAAAGAAATTTATGAAAGTATGCTTCCTTCTGATCTGATAGATCCAAGTATCACTCAAGACACTGTGATATATAAATCAGGAGATTTTTGTTTCATTTTTAGCAAAGTGAAATACCTTCTTAATGAGCTTGAGTACATTTTCTGGAGAAAACCTGGCATTTACTGGGCATCTTCAAGTACTACAAGTGGGACTAATTACTCATTAAACTAATGATCTAATTATTCCTAAGTATTATATTACCTGACTCTTTATTAAGTCAACTGCTTACACACTAGCCTCCTGGGATCTCTGAGTCGTCAACAGGTCTGCTAAACTGTATGGAGGAGATCCAAAAAGTTCTCTTAGTTGACTCGTTGCTCCTCTAGTCATCAATCGCAGCTACTTAGAATGTAAAACCTGACAGAATGAATTTTTATATTATGTACATAAGACAAGATTCTAATTAAAAAACATGTATTTGGAACTTAAAAATCCTCTGTTGAACTGTGGATCATGTCACTCTTTTATATGGATTAGTAGAAACCCACAAACAGAATTATCCTGAATTTACAGTTAATGGAGTTGATTTTGAATGTGTGTAATATATCGATGATGAACTGAACTCATGAAAATTCAATAGGACTGCACCATTGGACTCATTTGAGTCAGGTAACTATTTGCAATAGTGGCAGAAATCCTTGTACATGATAGAAAACAGACCTTCTCTTAAAGCATGAGAGAGAAGAGTCAAATGTCTATAGTGATTTTATTTACCTTTGGTTTGAATGATATATATCAAACACTCTGTTTTATTTAGTATATCTATTTATATTAATTACAGATATTATTACTGTCTTTTAAATGCCATGTACTTGTGTGAATGAATGTGTGTGTGTGTGTGTGTGTGTGGTTATGCATGTTTACATGTGTACACGTATGAATGTGGAGACTGTAAGCCAATGTCAGGAGTTTCTACAAAGGATCTGCACCTCATACATGGAGACATGGTCTCTCAGTTGAACTCAGATCTTCTCAGTAAGACTAGGCTCACTAGTCAACTTGTTTAGGGAACGCCCATCGCTACCTTATAAGTGCTGAAACTACAGAATCACTTATCAAAAGTTTCCATGGGTTCTAGGGATCTGAACTCTGGTTGTTATGCTTACGCAGCAACTATTTCAACCATTAAACAATCTCTACAGCCTTGTTGGCTTAAGATAAACATTATATGGGTGAGAAAACTATAAATTAATGTATAATATCTTTATTTCTGTACATATGCAGCTTTCAGACACAATGTTTTAGAGTCAAATTTCTGTTTTCTGGGGATTTTGCTATTATTATTATTATTAATTAATTATTTGAGAATAATTAATTAATTATTATTAATTAATTAATTGTTTTCTTTGTAAGGGGTAATAATAACATAAAATATAATAAGATAACATAAAGACTAACATATTGGAATTAGACCAAAAAAACAAACAGAAAAAGAGCCCAAGATAAGGCACAATAGCCAGAGACCTACTTGTTCTCATACTCAGTAATTTCTTAAAAAACATTAAACTGGAAGCCATAAAATACACACAGGGCCTCGTGCAGACTCATACAGACCCTGTACATGCTGCCTCAGTCTCTGTGAATTCCTATGAGCTCTGATCATGTTGATATAGAGGACATTGTTTGGGGTGTTCTCTGTCTTCTCTGGCTCTTACTTTCCCCCACCTCTTCCATAGGGATCCCTTAGCATTGAGGGCAAGGATTTGATAGAGACATTCCACTATGGGTGAGCATTCCAAAATGTCTCACTCTCTGCATATCTTCCTATGGGTTCTATTTGTTCCCATATGATACAAGAAGATTCTTTTCTGATGATGGTTGATCAAGTAACTTATACTTTTTTTTCAGGTTCGGTTATAACTTACTAAGGGATGATATTTTTTCTAGTTCTGTTTACATACAAATTTCAGAGCCACATTTTTAGAATTTCATATCACTGTCTTCAGTAATATGTTTGGATTCTGGAAACAATATTTAAAACCAGTTTTCATACAATGAGCAAAAATTCCAAGTGTTTTTAAAATGTTACACACAAACAATGCATATTATTATCATTATTAATATTATTATTAATTGTTGTGTTTTTGGTGAAGGAGATGGCTTCAAATGAATCTTGTCTGTCTCTGCCATACAACACCCTGACTCCTTCATAGGTAGTGCATTGGCACTTAACTAAAACCACTGTGCACAGGTGATTGTCTGAAAACAGTTTTTACCTGGGTCATTTCTGTCATCATAAAGTCGCCGATGGGAAAATGAATCTGTTTTCCGCTGTCCACACAATAAATAGCCAACAAGGCTAAGCAGGGAAGCACCCAGAATTCCCCCTAGAATGGCTCCAAATATTATTCCTGTATTCTTACTCCCTAGAAGAAAAAAAACAAAAGTTACATTTCAGAAGTAGAAAAATAATTATTCAACAAGGAAAATACAGATTCAAAGAGACAATATATAAAGATTTGATATGTCTTACCAATTAGATAATGGTAATAGTGTGTCACTGTGTGTGTTTTTATTAGATAATGGTGACAGTGTGTCTCTGTGTGGTGTTTTATCGTATACTTAGTGTTTGTGATATAGTGCTAAAAATAATTCATTATAAATTTTGCATCTACATTTTTACTTTCTTTGAAATACTTTCAAGTTTGTGATTTATAACCGTCTTATTACTTATTATTACCAACATTACTGACATGCCTTATTTCAAAGAAGGTCTAATTTAGGTAATTAATATTTTATTCATTAAGCTTTTTATAAACCCTGAATCTATGAGGAAATTTAAAGTTCAAATCAATTTTGACTTAGTATAATAATCATTTTATATATGTGCATATATACGTATCCATATATATGTATATTTATATGTACACATGTGTATATACATATACATATATATACATAAATACATCAAACAATATGTGACACATCCCCAAATTCTAAATACTAAAAGAAAAAGCAATCTACCTTGGTATAAAATATTTACAAACCAAGTAAATAAAGCAAACAAAAGATAATAGCAAGATGTTTGCAATGCCTGCTTGTACCTCAGCTCAGGTATCAAGAAACTAAATTGTACTGTATTTTACCCTTCAGTGGAATAACTGACTTAAAAATTATGTAATCATTAATTTTCCCTACTGTTCCCTAGTCTTTAGATACCAAATGAACCTCTAGATACCAAATGAAGCTATTCTTAGGCTACACACTCAATTGTGCTCCTAAAAAAATTAACACATTTGGAATACAAAATAAAAAAGATTGTTACTATAAAAAAGCAAAGACCAACATGACTCCACCAGAATCTGGGGAACCAACACCATCAAGACCTGAAAAGCACTACATAGATGAAGCAGAGGAGACAGACCTTAAAAATTATTTTATGAAGTTAAGGATTCTGATTAAAGAGCTATGGTATGGGTCAGTGCTCAGTATTCACAATACATACTTACTGATTTTAGACAGAAAACAACATTTTAAATATTCTCCTTAGAGATACAAGAGTGTCCATGAATGATAGGATATGTTAAAGTTATAACATAAAACATTATAAAAATTAAAACATGATAGCATATGAACACACATTATATATATTGCTCTCATGTTATTATTAAAAACCTAGATTTTAAAGCCGGGGGTTGGTGGCGCACGCCTTTAATCCCAGCACTCGGGAGGCAGAGGCAGGTGGATCTCTGTGAGTTCGAGGCCAGGCTGGACCGACAGCCTCCAAAACAGAGAAACCCTGTCTCGTAAAACCAAAAAAAAAAAACCTAGATTTTAGACATTAAAGCATTTCTCATATGCAGACAACAGCTTAGAAATGCCAATCCTATTATATGTTTATTTATTATAATTTATTTAGCCTCTAAGAAAATCTATCAGATGGCACCAATTTCATTTTTAAAAAAAAGAAGTCCTTACTGAAAATAATAAAATCACTTCAGGAATCCAAGCATACAGCTAGTCTTGAAGGAAATTAAGTATAATGAATTCATTATACAGCCTCTGATATCTTTCCTACTTTATGTTTTTAAATTTGACTAAGTTCCTAGGGAAATCATATAAATATCTATGTAATAATGCTGTGGTTCAAAAGATTATATTTGTATGGTTCTCAGTAGATGCTAAACTAAAAGGTAAGGATGTTTTCCTTGTGGTAAACTTGTTTAAGTAATTCTTGAAATGTCACTGCTCTGTTATTGTCCCACAGTGACTGTGTAGGGTCAGATAATGTATAGAATCACTCATTTTGTTCAGTTTTTCAAAGTTTCAATGCCCATGTGTAGAATATTCATGAAAGCACCCGAAGTTCAGATAGTCTAAAAAGAGTAATGGAAACTGTTACCTGATGCCTCAGGTAGCATTTTCACTTAACATCATCACCTTTGTTCCATCTCTCTTCATGCTCCCCCCTGCTAATAACTACCATGTGCTCAATTAAGTCCTAGAACCGCTTCACAATTTCTGCTGTTTCCTCCCCACACCACTGTAATTGCCTGAATTTCCCTAGAATGGCACTCTAGACTTCTCTAAAAATTCAACCTTAGATACCTAAAAATTAAATCTATTTTTATGTACCTTTTGGAGGGTCTGATGAATCGGAAAAAAGTTTTGAATTATTAGTGAATTTTACGGTAGGCTGTAAAGTTGTTTTTTCTTGATATGGTGTAAAACCCGCGAAGTCATCATTGTTTGTGTCAAGCCATCCAGTAGGTTCACTTGTCAAAGGGGTCACAGGTGTCGTTATTGGAGGCAGAGGAAGGATGCTGACGGTACTGGAAATATTATCAGGAATGTTCATGGTGTCATTGTCCAGAGACCAAGTAAAGTTTTCTGGTGATGTGGGATCTATAGGATAGTAATGTCCTGAGACCTGTAAAGGATCTACATCTGCTGTAGATGAGTTTAAAGGTGACTTGGAAACAAAGTCATGAGCCAAAGGAGGAGCAGAATATTTGGAGGTGGGTCTTGGACCTTCAGTAGAACTAGTTGTTAGCCAGTTACTGGTGAAATTTACCGGTTCATAGGCTGTGGTTAGATCCAAATGAGAGGTATTTGTCAGTATGGGTTTGGAGATGTTACTACTTTTATTCTCCAAAGTCACATTTGAGCTCCTATTCAAAGGACTGGATTTGTTTCCAATTGTTTTCAAATCTTCTATGGTGTACTGAGTTACATTTCTTCCTGGATTTTGTTTCTCAGGTCTTCCAAATGATAATGAAATGAACAGACTTGAAAAAAATGCAATTTTGGCTAAGGTCAACATGGTAGCCTTCTTTGGTATTGGTTTTAGTTTGAGGAATCTGAAAGAAAGTAACAGCCATTTAAATTATTAAGCACATTCTGAGTTTTTCCATGTATCTTCATTACTAAAGGGAAAAAATCCAGAAACACAATACTGAGAGGACAATGTATTTATTATAAAATGGGTTATTTTGAATGACTTATGGATTTAAACCAGTGCCACTAAATTCTTTCTCTTTTTTCTCAATACATGTTTTTATTTAAATTAGAAACATGAATGCTTCACATGTCAATCCCAGCTCCCTCTCCCACCCTTTCTCTCTTGTCCCTCTACCCTCTCTCCCAGCCCCCCACCCAATCCCCACATCATTCCCCAGGGAGGGTGAGGCCCTCCTTGGGGGATCTCCAAAGTCTGTCATTTTATCCAAGGAAGGACCTAGGCCCTTCCCCATGTGTCCAGGCTGAGAGAGCATCCCTCTATTTGGAACGGGCTCCCAAAGATCATTCATACACCATGGTAAACACTGATCTACTACCCAAGGCTCCAGTGATTTCTGTGGCCTCCTCACTGGCACTATATTCATGGAGTCTGGATCAGTCCCCTATTGGGCTCTCAGCCATCAGCCTGGGATTCAAGAGCTCCCCCTTATCTGGTCAGCTGTCTTTGTGGATTTCACCATCATGGTCTTGACCCCTTTGCTCATCACTCCTCCATCTCTGTCACTAGGTTCAAGGAGTTCAGTTCAGTGTTTAGCAACACTGAAACTACTAGAAAATATATTTACTTATATATACATATATATGTATATATATATAGGCTGCAAAGTAATTGTTTAAATGTTGTAAATATAAGACATACTGAATTGGTCTGCTTTCATCAAACTATTTAAGAAAATACAGTCTTTACAGAGATGTTATTTTGAATTCTGACTATGAAAATGACTCCCCTGATCAGACACTAAATGTTCCACTCTCAGATCAAGGAAGGAAAAGGAAGTCTTTCCATTATCTTGAGTACATTTTATTCATATTTACATTGAAGTTGAAATAGCAGCTGTACTATAATAAATAAGAAATATGGCTGAGGGTATGTGATGTAAAATACCTAGGTATCTTACCTAGATAGATTATGGCACTATTAGGTAATAAAGCGATGATGGGAACCTCGCTAACCCAAGCACACCATTCTGCTAAATATGGAATTTCCCTACCACTGAAGTACCCAATAAGGGTTTTCCCTGGGGCAGGTTTATATTAAAATTCTGGTTTCTGTCATAAATAACCTATAGAATCTTCACCATTTATAAGTTGTTAATATATTATTGTAAAAGTAACTAAACTGTTTTACAGTATTGTTTTGAAACTAAATCAAATAGAATATGAAAAAAAGCATTCAGAACAGTATTTGGTCAAAAGTAAGTACATAATACACCAACCTCTATTTGGTGTCAACCAAATATCACAATATATGTGCAACAATTCTCAACCTTTGGGTCACACCTCCTTTGGGGATCAAATGATCCTGTCTTGAGGATGAACTAATGCCATCCAAAAGGACAGATATTTTTACATTATATTTCATAACTAACAAAATTACAGATATAAAGTAGCAACAAAAATAACTCCATGTGTGGGGGTAACCACAATATGAGGAATTTGTATTAAATGGTCTCAGCATTAAGAACATTGACAATCACTGCTATAGTGTCTTAGGAATTACAAAGTTTACGATATCATCGCACTAGATACAGTGATATCTGAAGACAAGAATAGCTTGTGTTATGTTCTTAATGTAAAAGAAGAAACTGAGGATCAGAGTGCCAAGTTATAGAAATTACCAAACATAAGAGGCAAACAAAATGCTAAATCATAAAGTATGTTTGGCTGAATTTTTACTTTTAAAAAATATTAGCCTGGAACTGAGAACACTGCTTAGCTGCTAGAGTGCTTGCCTACTATGCAAAAAGCCTACATTCTGTCCCAGCATTGCACAAACCTGGAAAGATGGGGCACGCTTGTATTCCAGCTGTATGGAGGAATGTGGAAGAAGGACAGAATCAGAGGCACAAGGTAATTCTAGACTACATAGTTCGAGGTCAGCATAGACTATATGAGACTCCATGTCAAGCAATCTCTTCAAACAATAAAATCTGAGAACTGATTCGATGCTCTTCAACTAGGTTTTGCTTTTCCTACAATTGCTAAATTTTATGCTCTATGTTGCCTGCAAGTTTTTAAATATTTATTTTATTTTATGTGCATGAGGGTTTTCCTGAATGCATGTATATGTGGCAAAAGCATGGCAGGCACCCATGGATGTCAAAAGAGGGCATCATGTGTGACAGAGAGTCACAGACAGTTGTGAGTTGTCATGTGGGTTCTGAAAATCAAATCCAGACTCACTGGAAGAGCAGTCAGTGAACTTAACCACTGAGTCATCTCTTCAGCCCCCTTGCTGAAGTTCTCCAAGGTTTTTCCCTGAATTTTCACTAGCAATATTGCTGTTTTTTAAATAGGCCTTAGAGAGCCTCCATACGTCTTTGGTTTCATTTACTATACTCAACATCCACTCAGTGATCTGTTTCCAGTTAAAAACATCTGCATCATATTGTGATATACTGTCTTCAGCAAAAGCTTTTAAAAATCAGCCTGAGGTTTTGCATTCCAAAGGTTTCGCTGGGGTGTAACTTCTTCCATCCCTGTTCTAATCACTTAAGAAAAGTCTTCTTAAAATATAAAGAAGGTAGGCATGCAGGAATACTCATGGACACATTACTTATGATTGTCTGGCTGAAATCCACCAATAACAGACTGAACAATAAATCCTGGCCTATTCATATGATGAAAATTAGCATCTTACGGTTTCATGCAACAGTATGGATGATTGTCATCAACATAATGCAAAGCCTAAAAAATCCAGGCATATTGTGTAGTCCCCCATATATAAAGTTCAAAACAGCCACAACTCTCTGTTAAAATACAAGAGATTGTATGTGGACACATGTGATTAGAGGGTGCTGTTCACTGAAAGGGTTCTTGTGTGCTCCTCTTTCTCTGTTTCCAGACAGGAATTACAGAACTATTTACATTTTGTGGTAATCCCATTTCCTTATATTTTATTTCCTTTTATGGTGATAGTCAATATAAGTGGTTTAAGTCCTAAAATTATTAACATAATCAAAAATTATTATTAGTTATACACTACTTAGAAACTTTATACATTTTTCTCTTGAATCCTTACAAAGCAATCAGACAGAAAAGAGATTTGTAACTGTAAACAAGTTATAACGACAAATAATTAAGTGGAGGAATAAATGAAGTGTTCAAGGCCTCATATTAGTGAATCAAATTTGGGGATAGAATATATCTTGGCATACTTGAGTTAATGTTAATTTGTGGGGTTGTCTCTCAATAACTGGAGGGAACTGTATTGAGAGTTTCCCAAGAGCATGCGAAGCTGGTAAGCCATTTAGGTAGTGTGCATTAAGTACTGACATATTGCCTAGTTCTGACCTCCTATATACTTTAAGTGCTCCTAAAATTCTTAGAATACCTGACAAATGTAAATGATAGACAGTGGAAATGCCTTTGGTTAAATGCATGGACACGCAGTCCATACTCTGTAGACCACTGCATATAACTTAGTGCATGCTGTCTGTGCAGACCTTCCCACCATCATTTTAAACACAGTTTCTAATTGAAGAGTTTAAAGCATTCTAAAATGCACTGCAAACACAGGTTGATCTATCTTAAGTGCTTCTCAAGCATGATGAGTATACTTTTATATTAGCATAAAATATTCCAACAACTTTATGTACAGTTTCTTGTATGATACACATGAATAAAACATAAGTTCATTTTCCCTAGACCTATAGCTGGTCAATATTCCATTTAGTAAGTGCCTTGTGTAGTAGGTACATTTAATATGCAGTTTAGCTTGGTGTAGCTACATGTACATTTCAGAGGTGTTTTTCTCCGGTGAAAGCTGTGCAGATCACAGCACACCTAGTTGTCTTTCTTTTGATCTGCTGCCTATGCTCTACTTTAGGCATTGTACATGGTCACTCTCTTATTATTATGACACTTGGTTTACATCATCTTTTTTTAAGGAATTTTCCTTATTTTCTTCTCCTGAAAAAATATGATCACCAAAGGTAGGGTAAAGGTCCTTAGTTGTTCTAAGTTGCTTTCAGTTTTGTATGAGCAACGTAGCCTGGAGCTTTCACTCCCTCCTTGTAATGGGAATCCCCATATCACCGGCCAACAAAGTGAGCTTTATTGTGCCAGTTTCACCTTGCCTGTAACACTCAACCACCCAGGGCCTCTCCCATTCCTTCACTTCACTTTTAGTGTAACATGAAAACCTTGGGTATCAATACCCCAAAGAAGCCAAAGCACTGTCACTACCTCTGACTTACATCCTGGGAACAGGTTTAAAATGAAGGAAGAGAGGCACAGATATAATGTCTGAACACAAGGTAAAGTTAATTGACAAATGAATACAGCTGTGGCCATGACATTGCAAAGACTGATTTAGGCCTATAAGTCTGACATTTGCGACAGACAGTAAATTTGCTTCTCCTCTCTGGCTTCGAGGGTAACCACATAATATGCCTTACATACCTCTCATCTGAAAAGAATAGAAGAAAGACCCAATCTAAGCCATCTGTTGTTCAGAACTTTAACTGTGACCATTTGCAAAAGCAAGAACATTGTGAGTCAGGTTAAATTGGACCCAGCTGAATTAAACAATGTATACTGTGAGGACAATATAAAACCTACAAAGGACAGTGAGTCAAATTCCCATTTTTCCCCTTCCTTTTTTTCTTTAAACCTCTTCCCATTTACAGGCTACAAACATTTAATGTAACATATTAAGTTGAAATTAATTATGATAGATTCTGAATGTCATGCTTGAGTTTGCCTAAGCTCATCTACCAGCGAGATGTTCTGTAGAGTGGGAAGAAAGTGATAAATTGAAAGATGAATCAGGGTAACTAAGTAGCATACCCCCTATGTTTTTGCATCTTCCTGCACCAGGTGGGAGTAATACTAGGGGCATAACATCTAAGGAAATTTAGGAAGTGTAACAGAAACAGATGTGTAATCATCCTAAACTTTAAAAACAAAGGATAGGATTGTCATATGTGGAACAGAAAAAGAACAGGATTCTGAGCCAATCCGTATACCTTAAGTAGAGAGTCTGAATGTCTAGAAATTGAATTTTGACTGCTGTTTCTATTTAACAACACTTGAAATGTCATTTGAAAAAAATAAATTTCAATTTCAAACAATTCTTCTACAGGGAGAATGAACAGTACCTATTCCGTTTCTTTAGTGTTAGCACTGAAAGATGCCTTCCTATTACTACATCTCTCCACGGAGAGGTTGGAAACCCCTGGAGAGGAGACAACATTCATGGAGGCAACCCCTCCTTTTCTGATCAATTTTGATTGCTCTTAATTGTACAATGTCATCATTCTGCCAAATCTCCCCTTTGTAACTGAGTCATACTATTTATACTTTCAGAATAAGGAGGTACCATGGCTCTGTCTAGCTGTAAATTCATGCAAGAGAATGTATGGTATTCGTTGGCAACTCATTCAGAAGAGGAATTTTATATAATAGCATCAGTTCAAGTATTTGGACGATCCCATAAATGTTGTATCTCTGTGATGAATAGCTGAGGGGTACAGACCACCACATTTGCCCAATTGCTTTGAGTGTTTCTTGTCACAGACCTTAGCTTCCCAATGGATATGGATTTGTTTATTTATTTAGTTTTGTCATGAAAGTTCAGCCAGCCATGTAGCTAATATTCCAGGCAGAACCTGAGTATTTGAGTGTTATTCTAAGTAGCTTTAGCAATTTGGTACTAAGTACATTCTCTAGAGCCACATTAATAAGCATATAGGAAATTTTTGTTCTAAAACACATTATACAAGGGATTGGAAACATGAGAGATCAGAAATTCTATTTGTACCTGAGAACTTTCATTATAATTATCATTTCACTTTTATTTGAGAAAGTAGGAAAAATGAATGAATGAATGTTTTTTTTCTTGAAAGAAATTCTCCAAGGTTTTGCTATCACTCTGTTAAAAGACTCAGATATACATGAATCTAGAAAAAAATAAAGAGAATGACATCCTGCCTAATAACTTGGGAGCCCAGTCATGAATTTCACAACTGTGAAAAAATAGCTGGATGACTACAAAGCTTAGAAAGAATGTGTCTCCAAAAGAGATGTTCTGGATCCAAATTGCAAAGCATGAGGGGTTAGACTTCTATCACTTTTCACTGTCTTTAGAAACAGCTTCTACGAATCAAAGAGAAAGTAGGCCAACAGGAAATCATCCTTTTGTAGAAGGGCACAAAAGGCCTCAAGCTGAAAATGACACTCCCAAACTCTGTCTAAATCCCCATTCCACAGAAAGTCTTCCATGAGTGACTTAGCCTTCTGAAATTTCTGGGAATGCCAGATATGTGTCCTTAGCATGATAGATAACAAAATGAAATGTACAGTTTCCAACCTTTTAGTTAAGAACACCATTGAAAAAGATGTATAGAAGCTTGTAATTCATCACATGTAAAGATAATTTTTCAAAGAACTAAGAATAATATTATACTTAAAAATAAAACTTTAACCCTAAATACATATTTTAAAGCTACTAAATATGTTTTCCTGCCACCAGTTCCACTTTAAAGATTTTGGTAGCTTGCTAAGACTTGATCAAACCCTGTATTTGAGACACACCTTTAAAATAACATTTTCACTGAACTCTTATGCTGGTTTAGTTGGTTAACAACTAGCTTCCTAAAGTTAACTCATTTAATAGTGCGAATGTCCACTTAGAAAGTAATTCACTAAGGAAACAATGGCCTGTTTATACCAGTCTCTGTAGCTGCTGTCTTGATTTTTCTGTCAAAGGTTGAGGCCACTGTGAGTCTCTTTATAAAGGAAAGAGAGGAAAAGAGAGAGAGAGAAAGGGAGAGAAAGAGACAGAGGGAGAAAATTAACGCCAAGATGCACACACTTACCTTCAGAAGTAACAGGTGTTTACAGATGGGGAATAAAATATCAAGTTGGCCTAGCTGGAATGAGTCCTTGGAGCAAGAAAAAGCAGATGGGTTAAGTGTGACAGTGAGGCACTGGGCAGGACACAGACAGGCAGATGCTAGAGAAACAAAATTAGGTGGGGCTAGCCGGTTGCTGGCTGGCAGGCAGTATCTTGCTTGTGTAATAGAGCAGCCAAGAACCTGACTGACCTGCCTCTCTGCTGTAAGCAATAGGATATCACCTCACTGAGGTCTGAAAAAAAAAGTCCAACCCTCTAGTTTTCATAGGTTGCTTCGTCAGATTTTGAGATAGGCTCATTCTCTGGAGCCGTAGCAAAAAGGAAATTGTTTATTTCTTGAGGGGGGAGGTGGGTGGGTGGCATCCTCTGGTGCATTAGGAACTCTGGAAACTTGCTGATTACCTCTTGGCAGGTATGAAAACCTGAGTGAGTCATGCTCCACACCTACTTTTGTGTGCTAGCCCAAAATTATTTCAACTCACAAAACAAATCCTTCATTCGTTCTCTGCGGTGGCCTTTTGTGACCTTAGAGCTGAATGTGAAAAGTTCATAGGGATCATTGGTAAGGGACTTACTTGAGGTGCACTGAAATTGGTGTTATAGAAAGTCACCCTTACACAAACTCAATGAATATTTATTGGGGCCCTTGAGAATGCTGTAGAGGGTTACTTTAGAAATGACCTCCAGTACCAAATGTGGGTTCTTACTGATTTCCCATACTTTACAGAGTCATTGGGACTTGTGTGAGAATGACCCAGGAGCCTTTTTAATCAACCAGTTTCCACCCTTTTTTATTTGCTTTTACTCTCAAGTTAGAAGCTAGATGATTTCAAGAATGCCTGGGTCATACTTAGTTAAATACTTGAGTTAATAACTAATTGCCATGCTTCCTTTTGTCTCCTTCCATGTCTTATCAGAGGGAAAATGTAAAAGTGGAATATTCTTCACTTCAATACTTGGGGACTAGTATTAATTTGTCCTCTTTAATACCCGCAAGGCTTATGCTTTGTTTCTGTTATAAAAACAGTTGGATTTTCTAGTGCTGAAGGGGTAAGTGAAACTTCAACTAAAATGTACACTCTGAGGGTTTGAGATGAATGTATGGAATCTGCTCAGTTAATTGGTTTCAGGAAAGATCTTCTGTACCCCAAAGGCTGTTCCAGAGGTTGATTATAAATTAAACTCCTAAAAAAGTATTCACTCCAAAGATATTTAAGCTGTGTCTAGATTGGCATGAAGGAAAGCAAGTTAAACTCATTCAAACAACTGGTTGCTGAGGAATGGTCAAATAGAGTTAAACTGGTTATCTTCTGATTATCAAGTTGCTAGGGAAAGAATTTACTGAGGATGGGAATGTTCCCTGTCTGAACTCAAGTAACTGAGTATGAACAAACAGCCTTGGGTGTGCAGGATTCCTAGACGGTCACCTAGGTGTGTACAGGAATATCATTACCCCTTTCTGACTTCACAGTAGTAATTATGTAGCTGGTGACAGGAAGGAATACTGCAAAGCACTTGTGCTCCAACTCTCTCCTTTTGTTGCCCTGAATGTCAAAGCTGTTCTGGCCCTTTCCTGAAGATATTAACTGAAAGCCAAGAATGTTTATCCTCAATGTCTTCCTACAACCATAACCATCTGATCAGAATAAATGGTAAGGACAAACATCCATCATGAGAATACCTAGAAATAACCCAAAAACTGAAAAGTATACATAAGTTGAATCTTCAGTTGTTAATAAGATTATGGTTGTGACCAGAAATTTTTTATTCACATAAAGCTATATGTGAATCACTTAGACAGACAGACAAATGGACAAACAGACAGATAGAAATATAGATAGATGATAGATAGATAGACAGACAGACAGATAGATAGATAGAAATATAGACATATAGATAGATGTCTCCAAAAAGTTCTCACAGAGGTACAATTCCAAGTATATATGACCTTCTAAGTAAGGCTAGTTTCACCTGAGAATCTCAACCAAATATCAATTACTGACAGTTTCACTAACCAGACTAGCTGAGATGATACATTTTGCAGTGTTCATATACATTATGTACATACCTATTATGATACTTTCCACATGAGTTTAAAACTGATTTATTATTCATTAGTTAAGACTTATAACCCACACTAGGAAGAAATACTTCTTGGTCTTAAAGTCAAATTTAATATGAACATATATTCCTACAGATTATGTGTCTGAAATTAAATCCCTATAGTTTGTAACCACACTTAAGCCTGTTCTAGAAGAAAACATCCATTTAGAGCCACATACATATGCAATAACGCATCCTTTCATGCATACATACATACATACATAAGTACGGTATGTATGCTGATAAGTCACTATAACTAACTTAAAGTGATAGATTCTGTATTTATCTTTGGTTTCACTTCAACCAATAGTTCAAAGAAGTGATATTACTGTAACAAAATCTGTCCCATTAGTTCCTGAGCACATCCTCTCAGTATGTTAGCAATAAAAAGTAAAATACAGTTTATAGTGAAGCAAACCCACTTCATTATTATAAATGCAATAGTGAGTCATGAATTACTAAACCGACTAAAGAATGAAGTACTAATTGATATAGAGGTGAGATGTATTTATAATAAATTTGTGTTATGTATTCAATGCTAGATATATTATATAGTTATTGCGAGTATTAAGTTTGAAAGTATATTGTGTCTTATTAATTATATGATAAATTCTAGTTAGGTTGTTTAAAGTAAGATATGAATAACCACAAGAAAAAGAAATTCTGTACATTTAATGTTGCTTTAAAGAAATATGGCAACATAATTAATAAATATTTTCTGTACATATAAGACAATAATTTTCTAAGACAAGGATAGAATGGAAATGAAATAAGAGTTTATTAAGTTTTCATTTTTCAGGGGACACAAGGAGTAAAGGATAATTGTGAAAAATGATCTCCAACAATGCTTCAAAATGTTCAGATATTCAAAAACAGGTTATTTGTATATTTTTATGTACGGTATAAGACCTGACACAAGTTTCCCATTGTGTCCATTTACCTACTATTTAATTTCTATAAACACAAGGTAGAAGATAATTGTGGGCTGCTGTTCCATAAACACTTGCAAATAAATTTCTTTCTTAGCATCCCCTCTATGGACAACTTTGTGCTCTGCTTATGTTAGCAGAATAGTTTCCAGTGAACATCCCCACTGCTGGATCATCAGGTATAAGATTCCTCAGGCTCATTCTGGCGAGGTTCTCAGTTCTCACACTCAGGGAGGCAGCTGTGTGCGTGGTAAGGCAAGTTTGGCCACTGAGTCATATTTCTTTATTGAGTCCTAATTTTGCAGCTTACTCATTTCATAACTGTGGCTAGTCACATTTCCAAGACTGCCCTCTCGTTTGTAAAACAGGAAAAGTAACTCCTACCCCACTAGTTGGCCTGTGGGGAGTCAACTTTAAAGTAGGAAGAGAAGAGAACAGCTCAGCCCAGGAAATGACAGGCATGATGATTTTTATTTTTGAATTGTTAGACTTTGAAACTTAGCATAGCCAGGAATAGTTGTTAAAATGAAACCAACAAAGGGTTAAAACACTTGAATTGAATTATTTTGAATTTTTTATATCTCTTGGCATGGGAAGTGGTTAATAATAGTCACTGAATAAAAAATGAATGAATTATTGATATTTAATTGATTCCATTTTCTTATAGAGAGGCTTTCCTTGATCACACCTTTTGTAAAACGATAGCCCTAACTTTTAACATATATTATCATCTTCCTTATACTTTCCTCATAGCATTTATTAACCTACATAATACTTCATATCTTAGTATGTGTATGTGTATGTGTGTGTGTGTGTGTATGTGTGTTTCATATGTTGCTATACTAGAGGATCAATTCAGGAAAGCAGGTATTTTGGTCTGTTTCCATCAATGTTTTATCCACAAAACTGGATGAGGTTCATAGTGAGAGGTCTGGCACACAGTAATTACTCAATAAAGTATCAATAAATAATAGAGTGGATGGATATTTAAATAATGAACACATTTAACATCAGTGATAATTAAGATCAAGTGAACATATAAAACATCTTAAAATTCACTGTATTCTACCAACTTTTCTTGTTGACTCATTCAGTTGTGAAATCTGATGCTTCACTTTTCATTTAAAGTCATGCTTTGCCTGGACCCAGTGGCACATACGTGTAATCCCAACACTTCAAGGTTGAGTCAGGAAAAATGGGAGTTCAAGGACATCTTCAGCTACTCACAAGTTCAAGGCTAGCCTGGACTACTTGAGACCATTTTCACACAAAGGAAGACATTCCTTGAACTTATTTATATTTGTATATACCGCCCTGTGCCGTTTCCTCTAGTAGTTAATTAGGGGAGGGTTATTAGTCACAGAAGTTGACCTTAGTAAGGAGCATATCAGTCTTCTGTTCTGAGAATGCAGAAAATATAGGGACAACCATAGAAAGGGGACAGATGTCTTTGGGAGAATACTTTCTATCTGATTGCTTCATTTTTAATATTAAGATGAACAGCAAAGTTCTTAACAGTGACAGAAATATAGGTGATATGGAAAAGGGAAAGTGCTATAACATGGCATCCAGTGATGACCATTCTCAGTTAATGACCATTAACGTAAAGTGGTTACTCAGTATAAAGCTGTTTTTCTGATCATGCTAATGTGCATGAGTACAGATAGATGTAGGAAAAGAAAGAGGAGGACGAGGAAGAGGAAGAGAAACAAGAAGAATGAATAAGAAGAAACAGAGAAGAAAGAGAAAAATTATGACAAAGGGAAAGAAAGGACAGTAGACTTGTGACAGGATCAATAGTTAAAAATCTGGATCAAGAAATAGTTGTAGACTGGAGAGATGGATAAGTGATGTATGTTCTTCTAAAGGTCCTGAGATCACTTCCCAGCTTCTGTGTCTAGCACCTCTCCGTTACCTGCAACTCCATCTCCAGGGCAATCCTTGGCCTCCACAGATACCTGCAAGCACATGGCATGCACGCACGCACACACACACACACACACACACACACACACACACACACACACACACATACAATAAATAATAAGTAAATAAAATAAGATATATCTAAAAACAGATAGAATTTATAAATAATAAAATGGACTGGTAGATAGAGTGATTTAAGATCATCAAAACTATGCCCTGAGAGGACATTATGATTCAAAGCTGCTTGGATAATCTAGATCAAAGATAACAGGAGCCAGGGTACTAGAACAATTGCCTCTTTGTATTGTAATTTATAAGAGCTATTTTTGGAGACT